CCACATACTGACCTCTGGGAACCCTGCCCCCCTCCCCCCAAACTTCCTCAGAATCACAGCTGATAAAAAAGGAAGGAAGAGGGGCTGGGAATTTAGCTCGGCGGCATAAGCGCCTGCCTTGCAAGCAGGAAGTCGTGAGTTCGATCCCCAGGACTGATAAAAAGGAAAAAGACAAAAAAAAAAAAAAAAAAAGGAAGAAAGCCTGGCGGGCATGCTACTGTTCCAGACTCTTCCGAGAAGCCCACAATCCTCAAGCTGGCACACAGGGCCTCTCAGGTATGTCTCTGACTCCCTGCCTGTCTCACCACCAACCCTGCTATCACAGATCCCAACCTGAGCTATAACAAAAGCCCAAGGGCCCTTCCACAGGCTCTTCTCTCTCTAATGAGAAAACTCCTGAGAGCCAAGCTCTCTATCACCTCTACCTGAAAGGCCTCCCCTCTGCCCAGAAGCGTCGAACACTTCCTCTGGATACCCCACACCCTCTGTAATTCCAGGATAGCACAGATAACCCTGTGACTGCTTCATCTGTCACCCCCAGCAGAGTGAAAACCTTCTGGGGGTGGTCAGGGTAGACCCACTCTATCTTCCTGGGAAAGAAAGGCAGTGCTCTGTGGCCATCTTGACTATGGGCAGCAAAGCCTTTGGAGCCAGGATGAACGACAGCCAACTCAGCCTACCTCTGGTGGGCTCTGAGTGGTGGAGCCGTGGCCGCACAGTACTGATGACAGCCCAGTCAGGTTCATAGCCAGGGTCAAAGGTGGGTTCCTCCTCAGAGGTGCAGGGGTCACCCCCACTTGAATCCTTGAAAGAAGAGAAAACAGTTCGGGCTATGGATTCAAGTTTGCCAGATTTGAGGCTTGAGGCCTCACTAGAAGACAGCCTCACTGAAAAAAGAAGAAAAGAGGCGCAAAGAAAGCACAGCACTTGCTCAGGGTCATCAGCACAGCCAAGAGTGAGCTAGGATTCGAACCCAAGTCCCCAGTACTTTCAGAGATAAATGCGACACAGCAGGCAGCTCTGCAGGAGACTGTCCCAGCCCATGGTACTTAAAGCAGATGGCAACTACTCATGCCCACCAGGCCAGCTGGGACCCAAGATGGCCACATATGTTGTTGGGGGCACAGAGAAACTGGAACCCTCACACACTGCTGACAGGGATTAAGTGGTGTCACTGTATTGGAAAATAGTACAGCTGGTTTCCAAAAGGTTAAGCAATGAGCCAGCAATTCCACTCCTACATATGTGCCTACAAGAAAGCAAGTCCATAGAAAAACACAAGTGGTCACAGCAGCCCAGCCCAGCAGAGCCAACAGGCGAAAACAAACATGAGGAAGCAAATGTCAAATGTACACAAGGGGCAAAGGCTGAATGCTTCTGCACAACCCTAGGAATACACTCAACTACACACTTTTTTTTTTCATTTTTCAACTATACACTTTTAAATTTTGAGACAAGGTCTCAGTATACTCCAGGTTGCCCTTGAACTCATGGTGACCCTCTTGCCGCAGCCGCATAAGTGCTGGGATTATATAAATTTTAAAACATGGGGCTGGGGGCTGGAGGTTTAGCTCAGCGGCATAAGCGCCTGCCTTGGAAGCAGGCAGTCCTGAATTCGATCCCCGGTACCGATAAAAAGGAAAAAGACAAAAAAAACCAAAAAAAACAAAAAAAAATCACTACAAAAATTAAATCTTTTTGTCTTTGTTGTCTTCTTGAGACAGGGTCTCGCCATGCAGTTCAGGCTAGCCTTGAGCTCACTTTGTAGCCGAGGCTGATCTGGACTTCAAACGATTTTCCACCTCAGCCTCCTGAATGCTGGGATTACAGGTATGCACCAGTATGCCCAGCTATTAAAACTGAATTTTTATGGTAAGTGAAATATATCCTTTTTATTAGTGTATGTTTGTGATGCCCAATAAATATTCATCTTTGGAAACTGGGAATTATCTTTTTTTTTTTTCGACAAAGCCTCGATATGTAGTTCAGGCTGGGCTTGAACTCACTATGTAGCTCACATTGGCCTCATACTCAAGACAATCTCCTGCCTCAGCCTCCGGAGAGCTGGGATTACAGGAATGTGCCACCTCACCCAGCTAATTATATCTCAATAAAGGAAAAAGAGTGGTTTGCTCACGGATTTTTATGAAGATAGCTTCAAGTCCCCAGTGTGGGGGCCAACACACAGTAAGAACCATAAACAGTGGCTGCTGCTATTGCGAACTTGGGGGCAAGCTAGGGGTGGGGGGAGAGGACTCAGAGGAATGCCAAGACATAGCACCCAGAGCTGTGATGAAGGACAGAAAGAGGACAAAGTTGTGAGAATCATGGAGGAAGGAGCAATCCAGTGAGCAGCAAACACCTCAGAAAGTCACGCCTTCCAGTAACTGGAACCCCCAGGTTGCATGCTAGCAGGGCACCCCCTCTTTCCTTAAGCGAAGATTTTCAACCCGCTTCACACAAAAAGAGAAGCCCAGTTCACAGACGGCCAGGCTCCTAGTCAGGCTTACACACGCCCCAAGGCCATCCCGGGATCTGGGCCTCTCGACGCCTTAGAGGTGGCACCTACCTTCTTGGAGAAGAGGATTTGGGTGGCATCTCCAGCCTCCTCCACAGGAGCCCAGTACAGGAGGACGTCATTGTCCTGAGGGAAATGGCGAGCTGTAAATGGGCTCCCGAACTACTCCAAAGCTTTCCACTGCGTTTCCAAACTTTTGCAGCCTCTACCATCAGCTTTCCAAAGCCTCGTCCCCCACTGCAATTTCCACCCCACCCTTCTAAGGTCCCAGCCCTGATCTGCAGACAAGACTCCTACAAATACTGCCTCGATCCTGCCGAAGGCCCGCCCCAGGCCAGCTCCCTCCCGGCCCACCTTCTCCACAACACGGATGACGCCTGCGATGAGGGAATCCGGGTCCTGGTGCTTCCGGGCACTGGTGTGCAGGTACACGCCCCCCTTCTCAAACACCACCTGGGGGAGGAGCCCGTCAGGTCCCAGCCGCGCCGCGCCAGTCGCGCAGGAGGCGAGACCACGGCGGGAGCCAATAAGAGCGGGGAAGGGAAGGAGCTACGGTCAGGAGGCGAGGCCCAAGGCGGCCTCCGGCGAGGTAGGGGCGTGGCCGAGCCAACCCCCCGCCCCACGTTCCGCTGTGGGTTTGCATTCCCACGGGGCGGGGCCAAAAGGTAAGTCTTCCCAGACCATGGACGGTGACAGCGTGTTTGTAGGAAAATGGTGTTTGCTAAGGTTCTACCTGGTTCCCGAAGTCTCCGCGCGGCATGAGGGAAAAGCAAACTATGGGGCCAAGGTATACTGCACAGACAGAAACGAGAAAATGGGTTCTGAGTACTCACCCTGTAGCCAGATCCCTCCATAGCCGCCACCAAAACACCACTGCCCCGGCCTCCTCCTTTTCCGGGTCAACGTAGTGTCACATCCGGAAAAGATACTCCCCATTAAGATCCGAGAGTGGTAGCACCCCTACCATTCTAGAGCAGGAGAGGGTGAAACCATCTTTCAGGATAGGGTAGTTCCACCTGCACAAATGACCAAGTCACATGGCTCAGACGGGAGACTACGGGCCAGCGATAGTACGCAGGCGCAGTGGTTCTACTCTTCCCTACGAAGTAAACAAGTGGGAGGGCTCTAGAGCTCCACTCCTTTGCTCTCCTCTTGCCGAAACTCTCCCTCTCCATACTGTATTCTGGCATCGAAGCTATAAAAGTGCCATTTTGTTTGAGGGCAGCGCTTTGGCAGGGGAGAGGGAGTTGACTGAGGCCATATTAGTGCAGGGCAGTCCCAATCCTTGCGGGGCGCAGCAGAGAAGTTTTGCAAAAGAAGATCACATAAAGAAAAGAAGGTGAGAGGAACCATACATCACAAGAGATGCCAAAGGGCCCAAAATAATGGGATGAAGTCCACAGTACTAAGGAAGTATTCCCAGGAGAATTCCTCAATAACCGAGAAAAGTTTTAAAAATGCTGAGTCACCATTTTGAAGCTGGGTAAATCGAAGCAAGAAATCCTGTATTGGACCTTTAACAGCCTTCGTGATGGGAAGGGCACAATTGGAGGAAGGGAGAGCCCGTGTATATTATGGGCAGATGAAGCCAGGTAGCTGCCATGTTTATTACGGGCAGTCGTCTCCCCCTTTTCTGGAAGTTGATTATGGATAAACGACGTGAGGTCGCTTTAGTTTATTGTGGCTCTGGGTAAGCATCCTTGAACAGCCATGCTTCTTAAGGGGTGAATCGAAGTGATGTAGTGGTTTCTGCTCAACCTTATGTCATCTTTCTTATGGGCACCCTGCTGTTGCCTGGCAGAAGCCCCTGTGGCCACTTTGGTCTCTGGCGGCGTGGACAAGGGAGGCGGAGTGGGCAGAGTGCGGGAGGGGCAGGTAACCGGAAGTGACGCAAGGCGCCGCCATGCCTTTTGAGGGCGGCGACGGCGCCAGGCTGGCCATGCTGGCTACGGGCACGTGAGTGGAGGCGGCGTTGTGAACCGCGGTGTGGGGGGGATTTGGCGGCCCTGAGGCCGAGGGGAGCTGGGAGGGCGAGCGGCTTATGGGAGGGCTACGACCTACATAGACCAGATGACAGAGTTTGTCCAGAGGCACTTGCCTGAGCGCTGGCAAGGAGCCTCCCCCGGGAACGTTCGTGTCTAGCCCGAGGCAAATCCTCGCCAGCCTTGTCTTCGGCTACCAGGCCCCTCTGGGATGCTTCCCTTGGCGATGGACCGTGTCCACGGGGCTGGGGGAATCACTCGCGGGATCCGGGGCGCCCCTCACCCGTCCAAAGGCGGGACTTCCTGTCCTGGCTCCCACCTGGGCGGGATTTCCTGTTTTCTTCCTGGAGCAGTGGGTCTGCCCTGGACCCCGGGCGCGGTGGGGAGGAGCCTGCGCGGCGGAGCAGGGCCCCCGACGCTCACCCGGCCTCCTGCATGATCGCGTTCTCCACGCCTGCGGGTGAGGGCTGCCTCCAGCTTGACGGCGGGAGGGGGGGTCGCTGGCATCCCCCGCCTAGGGGGTCTTTGCTCTGTTGTCACCTCCTGCTGGAAGCAGTTTCCTCACTCCACCCACTGTCCTCACCTCTCCTCCCTGCAGTCATCCTAAGGCGCCTTACTGTGCCCCCGCATCTCTCCTGTTAAACGTCTGCGTGGAGGGGGGCTCCCCTAGCCGACAGGACTTCCTCTCAAGAGTAGGGGTCCCGAGGCTCCCTCTCCTGGCGTCCCCTGCGGAGTAACTGAGTCCACGTAGTCCTCAGGCCCTGGCCTGTGACTGTCCCCTCCTCCTTTTTGTCCCTGTCGCCTCTGATGGGAGAGTCACCGCCCACTCGCCCCCCATTTTCACAGTGCTCCGCCTGTGGCTACCCTAGTCGCCCTCTTCCCCTGCCCTCTCCAAGGCAGGAGGGGCCGGGGCCCCAGAGGAATGAGAGCCCCGGCCCAAATGCCAGGCTGCGTGGCCCTGGAGCACTCATCTCTCTGCCCTGAGCCTTACTTTCCTCCTCAGATGGGAAGGAGGATGGGAAGGAGGAGGCCAATAGAACAGAACCGAGCACCTCCCGTCGCTGCGGGCCCTGGGGGTCAGGCAGAAATGGTTTCATCAGGTAGAAATGGTTTCGGCCCCACTCCTGCTTGGCTGGCTGTGTGCCTGCTGGCCAGTGTCTTAGGCTCTTTGAGCCTCTCACCCATCTGGGTGGAATCATGATGCTGGGCTCCTAAGGCAGCAGGGTGGCAGTGAGGATTAAGAACAGGCCTGGAGACCCAGTTGGTGACTGTAAAGTGGAGTGACAACAGCTCCTCCCTCGGGGAGGTGGAATGTGAATGAGAGGCCACTCACACCCATGGCCTGGACCCTAGGCCCCTAGCTGCCCTGGCCTGGATGGTCCCTGAGTTCACAGCCCCCAGAGGCAGGAAGTGGTGACAGGGCCGAGCCTGCACAGGTGCTGCAGACCCTGCCTTCCATAACCTTGAGTCACCCAGGGCCTGCAGGTTGGATTCAGCTTACAGCCTCTCCACTTGCCTTTGCCATGTCCCTGTTGAGCTTGAATTCCTCCACAACGGGGAGCTCACTACCCCTCTTGGGAAGCTCCTCAGCCACCCAATAGCACATGGCTCCACTGTGCAGATCCACAGGCACAGAGAGCAGGAAGCGAGCCCCGCCTCCTTGGCCTTTTTCCCACTGTGTAGGGAGCAGGCCTGCCCCTGGGACTCAGGTTCCCACCCTTGGGGAGTGTGCAGTGTGACAGAGAAGGCGGGCAGTGGGACAGCTGTTCTGAGCCAGGATGATGGGATCCGGGGCAGACGGCTCCGAGCTGCATGGTGCACTCTTGGCACAGGGCAGTTCCTGGCCGTTTTGTTTGTTTTGCCTGTATTGACTCGCTGCCCTCAGGTCATTCCATGACAGAACCAATCCCGTCCTGAAGGGTACATGTGTATGGCGCTGCCCTGAGCAGAGACTGGCTCTGTCCAGGGTGAGGGAAGTCTGGTGCACACAAGATGAGTGACAGGTTGGCAGCCAATGCAGGGCCACCTTATCACAGGGGTGTGGCAAGGGGCAAGGACAGGTGAAATAGGGACCTACTCCCCCTTGTGCAGGCTGGGCCAGGGGCTGTCCCCAGAGATGCAGGCCTGCCACCCATGCAACTTAAAATGTCCCCAAAGACAGATGACACTCACGTTAGCCGCACGTTCTGTTTAGGTGGGGTAGCTAATGTGGCATCCCTTTAACATGGAATCAGTGTTGTCACACAGGTCACTTTGTCATTTTGCCTCTTGCCTGTTTGTACTGAGGGTGCAAACTGCCATGGCTCAGATGGGAGGAGGGAGGACATGGGAACAAGGGGTGGCAGCGAGGGGTCCTGGGGCAGCACACTTGCAGAGGCACCCAGCTCAGTGGGAGCAAAGTGGAAGCGAGGGCCAGGCAAGGGTGACATTCAGGGCTGGGTGGGAACGCACAGAGGCCAGGCCTCAGCCCCTCTCCTGCTCTGGCCTGCAGGGTTCGGATGGCAGCGGGGCGGCCCGAGGAGCTGTGGGAGGCCGTGGTGGGGGCCGCCGAGCGCTTCAGGGCCCGGACGGGCACAGAGCTGGTGCTGCTGACTGCCGCACCACCACCACCACCACGCCCAGGGCCCTGTGCCTATGCAGCCCATGGCCGTGGGGCCCTGGCCGAGGCTGCCCGCCGCTGCCTCCATGACATAGCTCAGGCTCACAGGGCTGCAGCCGCTGCTCGGCCACCCCGACCTCCACCAATGCCACAGCCACCCAGCCCTCCTCCGAGCCCGCCCCGCCCAGCCTTGCCCAGGGAGGACGACGAAGATGAGGACGATGAGCCGACAGAGACAGAGACCTCCGGAGAACGGCTGGGCAACAGTGATAATGGAGGTGAGAAGCACCAGGCAGGGGCTAGGGTGGCCTTCCTGAGGGTAGGACTGTCATACTGGACTTGATGTCCTGTGGGCACCTCATTCCCCAGCCTGGCAGCCAGACAGGAGCATTGGGTGGAGCTCAAAGCAAGGTCAGGCTTCTCTCTGAGGGGTCCCAGTCTAGCTGGATTGGTGTCCTGGCATCAATCATGGGGAACTTTCGGGTCAAGGTAGGAGCTCAGGAGCTCACCAGGGAAGTGGGCCTAACCCAGGAAGCCAAGGCCTTGGGAGGTGCTGGAACTGCACCTCCATAGAGCAGCAGGGCTCAAAGACTAGGAAGCAGCTAGGTGTTCAGGGGAATTTCAGGAGACTAGAGACTTCCCGAAGGCTGGACACCAGGACTTTGAGAATGGAATAGGAGTTCACTGGGACCTTGATAATAAGAGTTGTTCATGTGTTGTTCTTACTGACAGCTGGCTGCTCAGCATTGCTGCAGAAAACTCCCAAAGCAGGAAGGGCACAGACTCTGGGTTCACATCCTGGTGCTAATTACTTACTAGCAGGGGATCTTGGGCAAATGATGGGACCCATAGTGGCCTTTGACCTCCATTTGTGATCCAAGTGGGATCACAATCATGCCATTTCTCTCTGCGTCTGTATGGAGCCCCAGTGTATGTCCCAAACAGACCTCCAGGAGTTCACACCACCAGCTGTTTACTACAGAGGATCAGGCAGGTGGCAAAAGCTGGATTCTGCTAGTGGCACACAGAAGAGGGGAAGGGTGTTTGAGGCAGAGGCTCCAGGTGAGCAGTGGCAGTGCCTGATATCGGACACCTGAGTAGCTGGGGCTTTGATGCCACCCACAGGGCTCTTCATGATGGACGAGGACACCACTCTCCAGGATCTGCCCCCCTTCTGCGAGTCAGACCCCGAGAGCACAGATGGTGAGTAGCCCAGGCTGGTGCTGCTCCCAGCAGCTGGGATGAACTTGGGGACAGAGGCTAAAGACCCCCTTCCCTCGCAGATGGCAGCCTGAGTGAGGAGGTCCCCGCCGGCCCCCCGAACTGTTCTGTGCCTGCTGCCTCTGCCCTGCCCACACAGCAGTACGCCAAGTCCCTGCCCGTGTCTGTGCCCGTCTGGGCCTTCAAGGAAAAGAGAACCGAGGCGCGGTCATCAGATGAGGAGAACGGACAGGTGAGAGGGCTCAGAGTCAAACCCCAGGGAAGCCCTACACTCATGCTTTCACCCCTGAGCTGACTTGTTTGGGAAATCAAACTGGGACTCAAACCAAGGGCCTTGTGCATACTAGGTAAGAGCCTTCCCTCGAGCTCCATCCCATCCTTGTTAGTTTTCATTTTTGAGACAAAGTGGCTCAGGTTGGCCTCAAATTAGATCCTGCGTGACCTTGGGCTGCTGTCTCTCCGGCACCCTTCAGGTCAGAGGCCCGCAGGAGGCTGTGCAAGGTGTCTTTTCAAGCCACCTTTCCCAGCAGTCCCTAGAACATGATTTCATCTCAGCTCTAACAGGGCCTCTTGGCCCCGTTTTTCAGGAGAGGAAACGGCCTAGGGAGGCAGACACCCCTCCTTACAACTACTTGATCTGGTAGAAACATGAGAGGGCCCTTGGGCCAAATCCTCTGGAGACACCCTGGGTGTGTACAACCTTTGGAATAACAGAGTGACGCCAGTGGGACCAAGACCAGGAAACCTGCCTGGAGGAGGCATGAGAATCAGTGGCAGAAGGGAATAGCTGGCAGTGGGCACTGGGTGGGTAAGGGGTACCCAGGTCCCTCTGGCGCCTAACCCCTTCAGTCGTGGTCTCCACAGCCTTCCTCGCCCGACCTGGACCGCATCGCAGCGAGCATGCGCGCGCTGGTGCTGCGGGAGGCTGAGGACACCCAGGTCTTTGGGGACCTGCCGCGACCACGGCTCAACACCAGCGACTTCCAGAAGCTGAAGCGGAAATACTGAGGCCTGGGGAGGCAGCGTCCCTGGCCGCTTCTGCAGGCCCCACACTACACCCCTGCCCCGCCCCTGAGGCCCGCCAATCCGCGGGCCTGGCCGGGGCCCAGCCTGTCCCCTGCCCTTCTGCCCACGGCTCCTGTGCCAGAGAGCAAAATGTGTCCAGTCCGTCGGTTGGGTCTGTCGACCTTTTCTCTGCCCAGCTACAGATTCTTTGAAGGCCACCGAGTCACTCTGGACAGGAGCATGGCTGGTTCTGAACCCATCAAAGGTCAACTCCGTCGGTTTTGTGCCTAGCGACAGTCTTTGCTCGCTCGGCATTGGCTCCATCCTTGAAAGAGTACAGCCAAGCTCCAGGATTGGGTAGTGGCCTCCACTTTAGCCTAGTGACTGGGCAGCTCTTTCATTTGATTGGCTTAAATCCAGTCAAGGGGCTCTATCAGTCTCCCCGGAGTTACCTCCGTCCTTTCTAAATCCTGCTTCCTGATTGGCTATAGCCCTTTGGGGGTGTGGTCCAGTGCCCGCCCTTCCTAGGTCCTCCCTCCTGATTGGCTGAAGCCTCGGGGCGTGGTCAAGCTCTCCAGTGCCCTGAATCTAGCCGAGGCTTTCAGTTTGCTAGCTGTTGTTTTGTTTCAGTTTTTACACTACTGGGGCTGGACTCGGTTTTTTTGGCCGAGTCCTGACTATTGTACCCCTGGCCTCCTCAGGGATGGCTCAATCCTGACCTTGAGTCCAGCGCCCCTCACTGGTTCCATCCCATAAGAGCCTACCAATCCAAGCCCGTCCTTTTATTCTGGACGGTACCAGCTCCCGCCCCTCCCTCCCACCCCCACAGGTGCCTTAAAGGTCCCTTGTCCACCCAAGGTGGGGGGCAGGGAGCCTCGCTCTCCGGCCCTGGTGTGGGGGAGAGAGTGGGAGGATCGGGAGTTAGGAGTGGCGCTCTGAGATTAAAAGAGTTTGATAAATGTGAGTTGTGGGTGTTCAGCATTTTCTGAAACGAGACAGCATTTCATCGATTATCGTTGCAAAGGTGAGAACAGGGATTACTGTCTCCAGTTTTTGTTTTTAGTTTTTTGAGGCCATGTAGTCCAGGCTGGCCTTCAACTCGCGGTGATCCTGCCTCAGCCTGCCGAGTGCTGAGATTGCTTATGTGCACCTCCACAACCGGCTCGCGTCCTTTTTTTTTTTTTTTTTTTTTTTTTTTCATCTGTCAGTACACTGGGATCACGTCCTTATTTTATAGATAAGAAAATGGACCCTGGTGTGGTGGCTCACGCCTGTAATCCCAGCACTCTGGAGGCTGAGATGGGAGGATCCTTGCGAGTTCGAGACCAGTCTGGGCTACAAAGTGAGCTCAAGGCCAGCCTAAACTACATAGCGAGACCCCGTCTCAAAAAAGACAAAAGGAGAAAAAAGAAAGAAAAAGAAAATAGAGGGGTTGGAGATTTAGCTCAGCGGCATAAGCGCCTGCCTTGCAAGTCGTGAGTTTGATCCCTGGTACCGATAAAAAGGAAAAAGACCAAAAAAAAGCAAGAAAAGAAAAAGAAAATAGAGGTTCCTGGCCCGAGTAGAGTACTCTGGTTCCGTGTGACTGAGAAACACTATCTTCAGGGGGATGAATGCTGGAATCAGAATCGTCCTTTAAGAATCAGCTCCGGAGCTAAGGTGCTGCAAAGCTAGGAACCCCGAGACGAAGCAGGTGGTGCTTGGCTGGAAATTAGGACGAGGTCAGTGTGGAATCGCTGTTTCCAGCCCACCACCGAATTGAAACAGGCTGATACCATAACAAATAAGGTAAATTTACATGTATTTGCTGTATATCTCCTGTTAGCCTCAGGAAACCGTTATCGCCAACTTGTAGATGAGAACACTGTAGCATCGAGAGTACAGCAAAAGAGCGATTTAGGGCTAAGGGACTGGCCAAAAGTGTTTCCTCAGCTGAGCATGATCATCTGATGGGACCCAAGCTTCTCCCTAGAGGATGAGAACCAGCAGCAGTCTAAGTGGGAAGGACAGAGGATCCGCTTCGCCCCCTACTGGCCTGAGCTTCATAGCGCAGCAAGAAGGATGATAGCCAGAACGCCGACAGTACCCGTAGGTGCCCAAAGCACGGAGGCAGGGGGCTGCTACGTGGGCGGAGCCATGGCGCCGCTTCCCTCCACAAGAAGTTTTTTTTTTAATGCATGATGAGGGGCTGTGAGGTCAGTGCCTCAGGACTGGCAAAGACCCATATACTCCAAACCAGCCACTATTTATTGGGTTGTACAATGAGTGTATGCAGTGACAGGTGGGGCTAGCGGACTAGTCCTGGTGGGCAGAAGATTTAGAGGTCGATGACCCTGCAGGCAACCGATAAACCTGGAATAACTCAAGAGGGTGGAGATGGGTAAGACTCGACAGGCTGCCGGGTCCTGGTTAGGGTTTACTGCTGGTAGCATGGAAGCGACTTTAGAGCAGCACCTGGAGGACACAATGAAGAATCCATCCATTGATGGAGTCCTGTGTAGATTCACAAGGGCTTAATTGGGGTTGCCGTGGGACTCTGTCAGATGAGCATGCTGGCTCAGCAAGCAGCTAAACTGACCTCTGGCCCCACTGATATTTCTGTGGTGTGTCTAGAATCAGATAATGGGATCATTATGATCCAGAAACATGATAGCATCACGGTGGTGGTGCACAAAACAGCCTCTTAAAGTGTCCTGTCAGTTCTTCAGCACCCCTTTGTTGAGACTCAGTCCTGTCTGTTAGTGACCTTGTAAAACTATTACAGTTCTATTGGTTAGGCTCTTCTTGTGAAGTGCACTGGGCATTTTTCTATTTACTTTAGAATAAGTTGCTTTTTAACCAACCTATCAAGATATTAGTAGAAAAAGATCACGTTTTGAGGCAGCAGGTCCAGGTTACTTTGTATATAGAATTTTACATTCAATAAATCTGTGTAGAGGGGGAAGAAAGAGGGTGGAGATGATTTTATGCTAAGATCGTCCTCTGGGGTATTTTTCATTTTAGTAGATTTAGTTTAGTCTTAGTGCGAGAGGGTGGCCCATCCCAGGGGCTAATGGGAAGTCTCAAAAAGGTGATCCTATAATCCCAAACCTCCATTTTTCCCTTAGGAAAGGATGTGAAATTAGCCATACAAGTCACTTCTGTCTGCGACGAGCAGAGCGCCCGAGGCAGGACCTTCCTAGTTAGCAGCAGCCTCCCTATAGAGAGCGGCGCACGCAGCGGACAGTAGGCAACAACTACCCGCAAAGCTCTCTACCTTGCCCTTGGGAGGTAGGCACCCCCTCATTGGCTGAAGACTGGAGACAGCGTGGTCGCCTGGGAAACAGACCGCTCTCCTAGAGTGAGAGGGCGGGACTTCCGAGATCTGTCAGCTAGAGGCAGGATTTCCGCATGGCAGGAGTGTGCGGAGGCGGGACTTCCTGCGACCGGCCGGTGCACCTAGTAGCTCAAGCTACCGCAACTACTTCCCCTTAGGTCGGCAGCCAGGATGGCTCAGGCCCAAGGCCGCCTGTGGTTGGAGAGCCCTCCTGGGGGAGCCCCTCCTATCTTTCTTCCATCGGACGGGCAAACAGTTGTCCTGGGCCGAGGACCCCTAACCCAGGTTACGGACCGGAAGTGCTCAAGGAACCAAGGTGGGTGGGGGCAGGATCTGCTCCGGGAGCTGGTGCAGTTATCCAGGAAGGGAACTGCGTGGTGCAGCCAGCCCTGACGTTGAGAGGTGGCTTCTGTGTGGTGGGGAGAGGAGGAAAGGTTGTGCCTCAACTGGAACTAGCCAGGTCCTTGAGAATGAAGCCATTCCTGGGAATATTGTCACTGGGCCAAGGGAGATACTTGCAGACTTTCTGCAAGCCCGAAAAAGGTCACCACCCTCGTGAAGATATGGTCCTATGGAGGACCAACAAATATGTTAGGTAGAATGGCCCGTACCAGGACAAGCGCAGGATCTGCATCTATCCACACTTTGTCTGAGATGCCGCCGGTTTAGTAGATACAAATATTCGTCCTGGGGCTGGAGATGAGGCTTCAAGATAGAGCCCTGCGCGAGACCTTGGGTTCAACCACCATCCCCTTGGGCGCTGGGATCAGTGTCAGGCAGTCCTAAGAAATCTGCTTACTGCGCATCAAAGACCCACTCCCATTTAGAAATCTGCTGCTTCCTACTTCCTGCTCCCTCCGGAGTAGATGGTGTGGCTCCATCAGCCCGCAGTAGTGAAGAAACTAGGTACACATAGGTGCAAATCTTGACTTTACTCCTTCACTCCCCAGTGGAGCTGGTTGCAGATCCTGAGACGTGGACGGTAGCAGTGAAACAGGTACCAGGGCTTCTGCGAGGGGAGCAAGGCCCAGGGGTGGTATGGGGAGGAATCCAGGCCAGCAGGGAACATTAGAAACGTCTGACTGGGCTGTGCACGGTGGCATCCAAGCTAGCCCGGAGGCCAAGGCAGGCAAGTTGGAGGCCAATCCGGACAATTTAGTAAAACAGTATCAAAAAATTTTGGAGGGTAGGGCAGGGCATGGTGACACAGGTCTGTAATCCCAGCATAAGGTTGAGGTAGGAGGATCACCATGAATTCAAGGCCGGCTTGGGCTGCATAATGAGTTCAAGACTGGCCTCAAATACATAGTAAGATCCTGTCTCAACAAAGAAAGGAAAAAAGGCTACCTAGGGATGCAGTGCTTGTCCATGAGATATGCTCTTGGTTCAATTCTCCAGTCCCAGAAAAGAAACAAAAACTATTGTTTTTTGATTGGCTGAGAGGGAAGGGGATGTGCCCGAGTAAAAAAAAAAACTTTCGCCTACTTCAGTCAGGGGTCTACTGTCCCCTTTCAGTTGGGCAGGACTGGAAGCCTGTGGCCTTTCCAAGTCCCTGATTGGTGGTGCACAGTGAAAAAGTGGGACTAGTTCTGATTACTAGGTTTAAGGAGCAAGTTTTGCCTCCACGTATTTGATTGGAGGAGGTTTCCATAAGCTGGATGCCAATGCCAGCCCCTTTCTCTGCAGCTGGGAGTTAACCCTTCTACTGCTGGGTCCCAGGAGTTGAAGCCGGGGTCAGAAGGCTCTCTGAGGTTGGGGGACACACTGTATTTAGTCAATGGCCTCCACCCACTGACCCTGCGCTGGGAAGAGACCCCCATACCACGATCCCAGCCAGATACTCCACCTGGCACTCCTCCACCGCCCCCAGATGAGGAGCAGAAAGAGGAGGAGGACAACGAGCAGCAGAAAAAGCGGATGCGAAAGTCATTCCCTGGCTGGGAGAATTTGGAGAAGCTGCTGGTGTTTGAAACACCAGGGTTGAAGTCCAGGGGCAAGGTGAGAGCCCTCCCAAGATACTGCCCTAGACTGCAGCTCCAGTCAGACGCCCAGAATGCACACGGCATAGTCCCTGGCAAGCAGCTGGCAGCCAAAACAGCTTTGTTTCTGTTTATATTTTTGTGATCATAAACCTCTGAGGTGGCAGGGTAGGGTAATGTGCCCATTTTAAAGACCAGAGAAGTAGGGGCAGAGACACTGGTGTGGCAGGAGGTCTGTGGTCAGAGGTGTCAGGGCTATATGTCCCCTGTGCCACATCCTTCCACATGAAACAAGGCCCAAAGACTTAGTTCCTCATCAGTAAACTTAGGGTAACCCCTGCCTCACAGGATTGGTGCACATCTGCCTGTGAGTGGGCAGAGGTGACATGCTGCTCTTTGGTGTTTTCATGACCTCAGGTAGCTGCCTTTGATCTAGATGGGACCCTCATCACCACCCGCTCCGGGAAGGTCTTTCCCACAGGCCCCAGTGACTGGAGGTGAGGAGGGGCGGCCACAGGGGTGAGTGAAAGCTGGAGTCACCTGCCGCTCATCTGCTCACCTGCCACTTCCACCGCCCTAGGATCTTGTACCCGGAGGTCCCAAGGAGGCTCCAGCAGCTGGACACCGAAGGCTACAAGGTGTGTGTGTATGTACGGTGCACGTGCATGTGCACGCAGGGGCCAGCCTGTGCTAGGGCCCTGCTGACCAGCCCTGGGTGACACTATGTGCTCCCCAGCTGGTCATCTTCACGAACCAGATGGCCATCGGGCGAGGGAAATTGCGAGCAGAGGATTTCAAGGCTAAGGTGGAGGCCGTGGTGGAAAAGCTGGGTGTCCCCTTGCAGGTGCGGCTGAGGGGTGGTTCCTGGGGGCTGCCCAGGGTACGCGCTGAGAGAGGCCGGGACAGTGTGACCTACCCTCCACACACAGGTGCTGGTGGCTACACATGCAGGCATGTGCCGGAAGCCTCTAACAGGCATGTGGGAGCATCTGCAGGAGCGGGTGAGTCCCTGTCCCTTCGCCTCCACGCCTGGTCCCGACAGTGCAGCCAGCACATTCTAGGCATTGGCACGCAAAGGCAGGACGCTGGATCGCTGCAGTCAGTGCCCAATTCACTCGTGCATTCATTTGTTCACCCCTTCATGTGTGCGATTGTTCAGAGACCCACTAATACCCTGAGCCAGGAAAGCCCCTTAGCATGCAGGCCCTGCGAGCGTGGCCTAAGTGCGCAGGCTAGCGTTGACCCTGAGAACGAGGCTAGGTAAAGCTGCTCGGTTCCAGCCCCGTGGTCAGGGACGGCCTCTCTGTGCTATGTACTGGACCCAAACAAGGAGAGGGCAAGAACTAGGTGAGGCCGCGGCAGGGCAGGGCAGGGCAGGGCAGGGCAGGGCAGCAAAGGCAACTCAGAGCTGCCAGAGGGGGAACGGTGCCGTCTAGTGGCCGTATGGGGAATGGCGGGCACAAACCAGGCCGCGCCTCTGGGCAGGGTCAAGGGGTGGCACTGGAAGATGCTGGTGCAGGGTCTGAGCCAGGTCGGGTACAGGGCAGAGCAGTCGCCTGGCGTGCTGTGGGAAGGCTTCACACCGTCTCTCTCTCGTAGGCCAACGAGGGTGTGCACATCTCCCTCAGCGACAGCATCTTCGTGGGAGGTGAGCAAGCGGGAGGGCGGGGCTGGGACCCCACTGAGTTGCTGGTGGATGAGGGGGGCCTCTATGTGTTCCAGATGCTGCAGGCCGCCCCGCCGACTGGGCACCTGGGCGGAAGAAGAAAGACTTCTCCTGTGCAGACCGCCTGGTGAGCCCCAGCCTACCAGTCCCCAGCTGTCCCCGCTGACCCTTGCTCTCTGCCTGACCCATCCCTCTGCCTGCAGTTCGCCCTCAATCTTGGCCTGCCCTTCGCCACCCCCGAAGAGTTCTTCCTCAAGTGGCCAGTGGCCCGCTTCGAGCTCCCAGCCTTTGACCCGGTCAGCAGTGGGGAGTCTGGGCGGGGCGGGGCCCGGTAGCCAGAGGGTACAGGGTCTCACACCCCCTGTCACCACCAGAGGACTGTCTCCTGTACTGGGCCGCTCTTCCTCCCCGAGACCAGCACCCTCCTGCACGTAGATCCAGAGGTGGTGGTCGCTGTCGGATTCCCCGGGGGTGAGACGCCTGGCCCTGCTGCCCACTGACTCCCACCCCCGTCCCCCATGCACCCACTGACGTGTGCCCCCCCCCCACAGCCGGCAAGTCCACCTTCCTCCAGGAGCATCTGGTGTCCGCTGGCTACGTGCACGTGAACAGGGTGCGTCTACCCCCATCCCACACGCCGTGCCCTGCACTGTCCTTTCCTACCCCTCTGACCTCCACCCGTGCCCCAGGACACGCTGGGCTCTTGGCAGCGCTGCGTGAGCAAGTGCGAGGCCACTCTGAAGCAGAGGAAACGCGTGGTCATTGACAACACGAATCCGGACGCCGCTAGCCGGGCCAGGTACTGGGGTCACTGGAGGGGCTGTCCAGAGAGGGCAGGCAAGAGGCCTGGTGACAGCCAGCAGCTTCCCTACAGGTACATCCAGTGTGCCAGAGATGCAGGTGTCCCCTGCCGCTGCTTCCTCTTCACAGCCACACTGGAGCAGGCTCGACACAACAACCGGGTGAGCTCCCTCACGCCCCGCCCCGTCCTGCCTGACCACGCCCCATCCCGCCTAGCCATGCTCCTGACTGCTGCACCTGCATCTCCACAGTTCCGGGAGCTGACCGGCTCCTCACACGCACCAGTGTCCGATGTGGTCATGTTCGGCTATAGGTGAGGCTGCTGGGCGATCTGGCAGGTGCTGGGCAGGCAGAGCCAGGCCTGCTTACCCTCACTGCCCCCTCTGCCACCAGGAAGCAGTTCGAGGCCCCAGCACTCTCCGAGGGTTTCTCAGAGATCCTACAGATCCCCTTCCGACTGCAGCTAGAGCCACGGCTGGAGCAGCTATACCGCCAGTTCTCCGAGGGCTGAGCCCTAGCCCGGCCTGGCCCTGCACAATAAAGGCTATTTCCTGCAAGCCCAGCCCCTGTCTTGCTGGAGGGTGGGTGTCTTGGGGCTGACACTCGGGCCTGAGCCAGGCCAGGAGAGAGAAGGCTTCTGTGCCTTGTTCTGCTGATGGAGCCTTTGGGGACAGGAATAACAGATCTTGGTGGGACCTCCAAATGATACAGGGGAATGAAACTCCCATCCTACTTTGTCTGGTACGAGTTCATGTTCTCTAAAATCGAAGAATGAATTTTACGAACAGAGGTTAAGAACAGAATATACTTATTGAGAGAAAGCAAGCTTCTGTCTCAGAGAAACAGAAGGGGTTCCAAGCAGGTTGCCAGGGATTCTAGGGCACATACAGGACATCACACATCCCTCCCTGGTGTTGATGAGACACACAGGCTTCTTACCACCATCCTCTGCTTGTCACAGTGGAGACAGCCCAATCACGTCACCTGCAGCACCACACTAAGCCACCTCCCCTGTTCAGACCCCGCAGTCCAGTCCCCTGGGAGCCTTGGTGGCCAGCCCAGCCCCCAGCACAGCACTGGGCAGATAGCACAGGTGGTAGCTAGTGTTTAAAAAGCTTTTATTGGGAAAAACAAAGGCTTTGAAACACAGGAGAGGGCACGTCCTCCGAGGCCTCAGACCCCAGGAAAGCCTGCCCTCCTGGTCGTCCACAAACAAGAAGGTGGTTTTGGTCCCCAGAAACCCCTGCTAAGAAGCATCTGACCTGGGAGCAGAAACACCGTGGGAGGGATAGGCCTGACAAAGCACAGGCCCCCACACGTGCTGCACCTATCAGGCCCCCAGGGAACTGGGAAGGGCATCCAGACTTAAGGGTGCTAACCCTTCTCTGCCCATGGGGACTGCAGTGCCTCACTCTGGTCATCCCAAGGCCCAGGTCACCCTCCTTCCTGACACCCTGGTGGGTCCAAAGGTCCATCTGCACTCTATAACATGGGGGCCACTCACCAGTCTCTGCTGGGGCCTCATCAGTGACTCCTAGAAGGCCTGGCCTGGGGCTCTACCCGCCCATCTGCCAAGGAAGTGGGAAGAGTTAGGTCAGCGTGGGGCAGAGGCACGGACCCTGGGGCACCGGGGCGGGCCTCACCCCTCGCTGCTGCTGCTCCTGCTCCAGGTTCTACTGCAAGACCTGCTGCTGGTTGGCTAGGACTCGCTGGACACTGCTGAGGAAGCCGCTCTGGTCATGGGGGATGAGGCCCACGAACATCTCCTCCTCCGAGGAGTACAGCAGCATGAGCACGCGCATCTCACAGAGGGCCATGTTGGGGGAAGTGCACGCAGCCGACCTGGCAGGCATGGAGGTGCCTTGGGGCTGGGGCCCTGTCCCACAGCCCCACCACTGCCACCAGCCTACTGCAGCCCCACCTAGAGGACATGGATGCAGGCTGAGAGTGACAGTGGCCCAGGACCAGCAGGTTTGCCAGTGACCCAGGAAGTGGCACCAAGTCAGCCACCAGTTCCCATCCCAAGGCCCAAGGCTGGGACGCTGGCCCCCAGCGACTTCTGCCAGAGGCGAGGAGGTGACACCACAGGAGACAGCACTGGCCCCAGCAGTCCTGTCAGCATCAACACAGGTCTCACAGGCAGGCCTGGTACTTGGGAACAGTGACAATGACAGCTGACCAGGGGCTCTGGAAGATGGGCCTTATGGACCCTGCACAACAGCCTCCCTCTCGCCTTACAGAGAGGAAACTGAAACCAAGGGTGGGAGGGGCTTGAAGGCCTCCAAGGCCAGAAGCCAGGGTCTCAGGAGAAAGTCATGCCTGTGTCACATATGGCAAGGCCACATCCTCACATGCACAGCCAGGCAGACATCGAAGGGAGGCAGGGCAGTGGCACTGAAGCCAACCCTGCCTGTGCAGAGGGTACCAGGCCCAGACCTGACAGGCACCAGGTACTTGGGGGGAAAAAGAGGTGGCAGGGGGTAGCAGGCGCCCTGGAACTGCGCAGCCTGCTACACACACCAAAGCCATCCTGTTTTCAATCTGCACCCTGGGGTTAGGATAGTCCTGGGCTCAGAAGTCCCCAGGAAGCAGCACAGCCCCAGGCTCAGGCCTGCCCCAGCCACCCTGCCCCAGCACTCACAAAACCATTGTCCATGACTCGGCTCAGGCTCTTGAGCGTCTCCAGGTCCTTGGTGAAATGGAACTGCACAAGGCACAAGTTTTGGAACAGTGGCACCAGCATGGTCTGCGGGAGGCAACTGATGCTGTAGGTCCCCCTTGGCCCTGATAGCACCCAGCTCCCAGCATCCTCTTGGGCCACTTCCCGCACTCTGCCACTCACTAGTAGCTGCTTCGGGATAAGCTGCAGGTACAGGTCCCTCGGCCACTGCTCAGTCCTCCTGGGGGACAGAGGAGAGCATCAGGCAGGCCCTGGGAGACGTGGCCGCCAGCCCCAGCCTGGCACTCACAGGATCTCACCTTGGTTCACGTAGATGTGTGACAGAAGCCACCTCTTGGACGGACTATTGGGCTCAGGGCTGGGCTTTAGGGAACAGGGAGACGAGACCTCAGGAAAGGGGGTCGCCACAGGCCAGCTACTCACACAGCCAGGTCAGTGCCATATGCTGGCCCCAGGTCCCCAGGCTGCCCGGGGCTCACCTCCTACCACTCCATGATTCCACTCCATGCCAGGAACTTATTGTTGATAACCTGAAGGGCCTGAGTGGACACCACCAGATCCCATTGCCTGTGGGAGGAGCGGCAGATGGGCTGGTGCCGGGAAGGACCCTGCCCACTGGCTGGTCTCTGCCTCATGTGCATGCAGCCCACACCTGCTCTTAGTGCAGGCAGTCCTGGCACACTGCTGACACTGCCAGGGATGCAGAGGTGTGGAGCAGCAGGCTGGCCACCACCCAGGGACACAGAGCCAGCCCCAGCCCACACCGTGCTCCCCCAGTGGGTGCGGGGCAGGCCGCGGCAGCCCACACACCTGCTTGCAGGCGGTGATGACCTGCCGTAAGGCTCTGACGAAGCCACTCTGGTCACTGGGGATGCAGCCCATGAAGATCTTCTTCTTGGACGAGTAGACTATCAGGACCACGCGTACCTCACAGGGGGAGATGTAAGGGAACAGCAAGCCGGCCTGTGGGAAGAACAGCACTCAGTGCCCCCGGTGGGGCTCCCCACTCCCGTTAACTGTCCCCCCCAGCACCAAGGCCAAGACACAGCCCTGAAGGTGAAGACTGTGGTTGGGGCAGGTGTGTTGGCATAATCCTGTAACCCTAGCACTCGGGAGGCTGCAACAGGAAAGTCCCCATGCGTTCCAAACCAGCCTGAGCTACACAGTGAGACTCTGTCTCAAAAAGCCCAAACATAAAACCCCAAAACATAACAAAACTGTGGCCTAATGAAGGGCACAAAGGTATCCTTCCCTCAACACTTCTCCCTGCAGGACCCAGGAACACAGAGCTCAACACCTCCCCTTCCTGCAGGGCCCAGAAGCCCTAAACCTACCCCACCCCAATGCCAGCCCTGTGCCGCTAAGCCAGGGCCACATCCACTGCCTACACCTGGCCCCACTCTTCCTGGAGAGAACAGCAGCCCCTGAGCTGGGCTGCAGGCTGCCCACAGGCTCTGCCACCTCTTAGCTATGTGGCCGAAGGGAAGTCATCGCCTATTTTAGGACCCAGGTGGGCCCATCTGTAAAATGGCAGCAGTGCACACAATAGGTGTTGCATAAATGCTCCCTGAGCTACGAGGGCGCTCCCCATGGAAACCAGGCAGATCAGGGCCTGACAAGATGCCAAGCATCTGGACAAAGGTGTATCCCTGCCGCCCCACTAGCCGCCTCCTGACACTGCTCAGCACTGCCACCCCAGCTTTTAGTGCTGAGGCCGAAAGGTCTGTTCTGGCCACACTGCACCCTGTGGGTGACCCTGAAGATTACTAGCCATGGTGTGTCCAGACCCCAGGGAGCAGCAGCCACATAGACATATAGGTCTTGGCAAGCATGGCGTCCTTAGATGGGGCAGCTGAATCTAGGAAAGAATTGTCCCAAAAGGGACCCAGGACTGGCCACAAGCCCAGAGCCAAGTCCTCTGCGCACTGTGAGAGGACTCCATGACTCCTCCCACCTCCAGTGTCGATGTCGCTCCCGGCCGGCAGGAAGGACACACGACAAAGTCTGGCAGTGGACAACCTTTTCTTTTATTTTCCTTCTCCGTACAGCCTGCCCTGGGATCGCTCCCAGCCGAAGCCTCCTTTGGTCCGCTCCCCGCGGCTCCTTCTGGGCTTCTACTTCCGGGCTTCTTCTTCCCCCCCAGGGGTGGCACCAGTATATATACGGATACAGTGTCCAATCATGTTAAAGTAAGCAAGGCAAGCTGATTGGCTAACATCATCAGTTGCCAGGCAGACTATATTGTTGAGCGGGTTGCTTACGCGGTAAGCAGGAAACTAACGTGCTCGATGGGAGGGGTAATCTACCTCAGGCTTTACTCTTTACTACAGGCCTCACGTCCGCCAAGTGAGGCGACCGGGCTCGGGGCTGCGGCTCCCAACATCTCCCCCTTTTTTATTTTTTTTATAAATGTGCGCATCGTAGCCCTTCCTGGACTGGGTGCAGAGGCTTATGCCCTATGCGTAGGCCCACCGTAGGTCCTTGGCTTAGACCCTGGTCGGCCATCCCATGGTCTGCCAAGGCCCTGAGGCCCTCGTCCTTTTTCTAGGGCCAGGCACAAACTGGACGGAACCTGGATGCACACAAGCTTGCACTCATTTCCTCTCCGTAAAGAAATCCCCTCGGAGAGAAATTTAGACCTGGGCAGCATCTAACAGTCCAGCGGCTTACGTGCAGGATGGGGTAGGGCCTGGCTTAGGTTGAGTCGCACCGGGGGAGTACGCTCTTACCCGTCATTGACTCTCCTACCCAGCTATGTCATAATTTTTTAGAGGAGGAGTGTGGGAAGCTCACCACCCCTAGACTCGGTCGTAGGCTAGGCGAGCGAGCCATGCATATGCCTGAGGATCTTCTTGTCCATTTCGGGCTACCGCTATTTCTATTCATCTTGTTGGTTGGTCTGTGATGGATCTCCGGTAGGGCAGGTCTGATCTTCAGTCGAGGGCTTTGTCGCCCGTGTCAGTCTCTCCGGTACCCACAGTGGTTCTCGTCCCGATTCCTGTGGGAAAACACAAACCGCGCCTCGGTTCCAGCTGACCACTGGATCCGGGCCCATCCATTGTCCTGTCAGGACATCTTTCCACTTCACCCACCCTTTATGGTTGGGGGAAGGGTTGCAGTGCTCCACGGCTGGGGAGCAATTATCATTATTTAAATTTTAAAAATTGTGTGTGAATAGTGCCATGGATAATCGTGCCTTTGGGGCCAGGCCTTGGCCTACTCCCCCTTTTTGTTTTTGTAAAATTTCTTTGAGGCTTCTATGAGCCCTCTCAATGATTCCTTGACCTTGGGGATTGTATGGGATACCATGTTTTAATTGAACCTCCATCATTTTGCAGAACTCATTGAAGGCTTTGCCTATATAGGCTGGTCCATTATCAGTTTTTAATATTTTTGGTTTGCCCCATGCGGCCCAAGCCGCCAGGCAATGATTGATCACATTAGACACTTTTTCACCTGTTTCTGCTGTTGCGAATATGACGTGAGAACAGGTGTCTGTGGAAACATGAACATATTTAAGAGTCCCAAAATCCTGTATATGTGTGATGTCCATCTGCCAAACATCACCAGGGATCAAACCTCGAGGGTTTACTCCCATCGGTATGGCAGGTTTGTATGTGGCACAGGAGTCACATAGTCGCACGATATCTCGTGCATCTGCTCTGGAAACATGGAAATGGTTTGCTAGTGTCCTGGCATTGACATGAAACTTATCATGGAAGGCACGGGCTCGCTCGATTGGTGTTAGTAAGGTAAAAATCCATAACGGGCGAGTGGCAGTATCAGCAGCCGCATTCCCCTGTGCCATGGGCCCCGGCAGGGATGTATGTGCTCTTATGTGGGTGGTGAAGACCTTATGGTGTCTGTTCTGAAGCAATGTCTGGATAGACAGGAACAGCCCAGCCACTGTGGAAGTGGATCTAATTAAACCGGCAGTCTCAAGCACTTGCATAGCATTGACCACATACCTAGAATCGGAGACAATATTAATGGCTTCTGAGAACCGTTCAAGAATCATTTTAACGATCTGCAGTTTTACCACCTGAGGCTGATCAGGTTCAAATTGTATGGTAACCGGGGGCTTGCCTAGGATCACATAGGCGCCTATCCCCGTCTTGGAGCCATCTGTGTATATTGTAGTTGCTGGGACTAATGGCTCAGAGGCAGTAACCTTTGGAAAAATTATAGGGTGCTGAGTGACAAATGACAAGATAGGGTCTTTAGGGTATTGATTGTTTATATCCCCATGGAAAACACATCTCAGAATGGCCCATGTATCTATGCAGGCAGCCAGGGTCTTGATCTGGCTGGCGGTATAGGGTACTCGGATGGCTTGTGGTCCTGAGCCAAAATGTTGGACAGCTCTATCATGCGCCTCAAGGGCCAATGAAGCGACTGCCTCCGGGTAATGCTCTATGACTTTTGCAGGTGAGACCTTAGGGTGTATCCACAGTAATGGTCCTTTCTGCCAAATCACCGCTGTGGGCTGTAGACTAGTCTGTAGCAAACAGACATCAAAGGGTCGCCCTGGTTCAATTCTGTGTAAGATAGCCCCACCTAAGGCTTTTTCCACTCTCTGTAAGGCAGCTCTTGCCTCAGGAGTGAGCCTCCTGTGGGAGGCTATATCTGGGTCTCCCTTTAGAAGGTCGAACAGGGGTTTGAGATCTGAATTTGGTATATGTAAATATGGCCTAATCCAATTAATGTCTCCCAATAGCTTTTGCATGTCATTTAGGGTCCTAACGCCATCCGTCCTAATGGTGACCTTCTGTGGAGAGACTAGCATAGGGGAGATTTTCGCGCCTAAGTAGGTCACCATTTCTCCTCCCTGAATCTTGTCGGGGGCAACATGCAGATTAGCTTGTCTCAGGGCCTCGACCAACTGGCCGAGCATATTATTTAGCATGTCTGGGTCCCTGCCGCTGAGCAAAAGGTCGTCCATGTAATGCACACATCTTATCTTGGGAAAGGATTTCCGTAGGGGGGCCAGTAGGGAATCAAGGTAAATCTGACACATAGTGGGACTGTTGGCCATACCTTGGGGCAGCGTTATCCACTCGTATCTGAGATCAGGGCTTTCTTGGTTAATGGTGGGTAAAGTAAAGGCGAACCTATGAGTGTCCTCTGGATGCAGGGGGATTGAGAAGAAACAGTCTCTAAGATCTATAACATAAACTGGCCAGGACTGAGGGATGGCTGAGAGAGCTGGCAGCCCCCTCTGGACCGCCCCCAGGGACTGCATCTGCGCGTTGACCGCCCTTAGATCATGGAGCAGCCTCCATTTGCCAGACTTTTTCTTAATTATAAAAATGGGGGTGTTCCATGGGGAGGTTGACGGCTTAATGTGTCCTAATCTAAGTTGTGTACTGACTATTTTTGACAAGGCTAATAGCTTCTCCTTAGGCAGGGGCCACTGAGGTACCCAAACCGGATCATTTGACCTCCAGGTGATTTTGATCGAAGTGGGTAGGAGAGCTTCTTCAGCGGCCCCTAAGAAAAACCCAGCCCTTGCCTACCTTTTTTGTTCTCTACTGGTATTGGGGATGTCCGACCCTGTAGGGCATTGCCCAAGCCTTTGCCGGGGGTATATCCCTGGTTCCTGAGTATATCCTTAGCCTGGGGGGAGCAGTTTGACGTAAGCGTGACATCCATCTGAGTGAGGATGTCCCTTCCCCATAGAGACACTGGCAACTGCAACACAAATGGTTGGAAATGGCCCTGATGACCCTCCTCATCGCACCAGAACAGGGTTGAAGCACTAACCTGAGGAGCTGACACCATCCCCAGGCCCTGCAGCGTGTTATCTGCAGTGTTGGTGGGCCAGTTGGAGGGCCAATCCTTTCTAGAGATAATGGAACGGTCAGCTCCTGTGTCTAGGAGCCCTGTTATATTCTTGCCATTGACCTTAAGTGAGAGCATGGGCCTTTTATCAAGTATTATATGGAGTCCCTCGAAGACTTCCCCTGAGGAACCGAAACCTTGACTTTCTCTAATTTTCTGCTTTGAGGGGAATCTCTTGTGGAGACTGGGGAGCAGCAAGAGCTGCGCTATCTTGTCTCCTTTATTGATTACCATAGTACCCACAAGAGATTGAACCATAATTTTAATGTGTCCTGTGTAGTCTGAGTCTATGACCCCCGGGACTACTATGAGACCCCGAAGGGCCGTGGAGGATCTCCCGATCACCAGACCCACGGAATTTTCGGGTAACGGTCCCTTAAAGGTGGTTTCAACCACTCGAACACCCATATCAGGCACTAATATAAGTCTGGAGGCGACACTGAGGTCCACACCTGCTGACCCAGGGGTGGCCCTTGTTGAAGGCTGCCATCCTGAGCTGTCCTGTCTCTGGGGCGGGGGCCCGCCTGTGAAGGGGGCCCCCTCTGGCCGTTTTTTGGCCCTCTAGCATCTCGTCCACAAATACGGTTGCCCTGAGCATCAAAGACCGACCTACACTCCTCAGCTTTGTGTGATCCCCTCTTGCATCGCCCACAAACATATGGTTCTTCATTCCTAGGGCGAGGCCTAGCATCTGCATTGTTTGGGCAATGACGTTTAATGTGTCCTGGCTCCCCGCAGGCAAAACACCCTTTAGCCTTACATTCCCCTTCTAACCCGCGAGGTCCCCTCTGCTGTACAGCCGCGGCCAGGAGAGCAGCCACTCCCGAGTTGGAGAGCGGCCCCCCTATCTCTCTACATATCCTAATCCAGGCGTTGAGGTCCTTGTTCTTATGAGGAGCTATCGCTGCCTTGCACTCCTTTGTACATTGCTCAAAAATCAGCTGCCTTACCAGCGGTCGAGCCACTCCCGGATCAGAAAATATCTTATCGGCAGCATCTTGCATTCGGGCCACAAAGTCAACAAATGGCTCTGTGGTACCCTGAATTATTTTTGAAAGACACAAGGAGGCTGTTCCGGCACCACTTACCTGCTTCCAGGCGCGGAGCCCTATGGCGTTGATTTGTTCATAGACAGCGCCGGGGAACTGAGTCTGATCATCAGCATGCCGACCTTCTCCCATAAGCATTTCCTTGTTCCACCCCCAGTTTCCCCGACTGGCGTTTCTCTCAGCCTGTTCTGCAGAGAACTCTGCGTACCAGGCTCGCCAATCCAGGTAACTACCCGAGGGCAGACACGCCTTTGCCAGCTGAATCCAGTCCGCGGGGGTGAGGGGCCCAGAAGACAGGTTCTCCAGCATGGCAATGGTGTAAGGCGCAGTCGGCCCAAAGGTTGTAACTGCATTTTTAAGTTCTCTAATCTGCTTTATCTCAAAAGGCTCCCATGCATTACGTCCCTGGCCCATAGCTACTTGTACAGGAAATATCCTGTAGGGGCCACTATCTATCCCAGGTGGTGGATGTACCTCATGAGACAAACGTCCCCCCTGCCAAAGCCGCCTGTAAAAATACCGACCCGCCGGTGGCGGAGCATAAGACGGCGGCCATGATTGGGCGGAAAATGGGGGCCCGTGCATCACTTCCTGTTCTGGCGAAGGGGAAGGGAGCTCCCGGGCGGCCGCCTCGCGGCGAGGGATCGCCTCCGGGAACAGCCCCCAAGGTGGGGCGGAAGGCTTCGCCTCCCTCTCGAGCCGGGGAGCGCTCAGGAGCTCTCCACTCCTCCGCAGACCAAGTTGAGCGGAGCGCAATTCACGGCGCAACGCTGGGAAAGAACCCTGCGACTCCTTATCGAGCGACTTAGGCTCCTGACAGCTGGTCTCTTTGGCCTCCTTGCCATTCAACTTTCCCTCGTCCTCGGAGTCAGACGACTCCGAGGCTAGAGCCCCGTCCTTCTCCTTAGCATCTTTGTTCCCCTTGACGGGCCCCTCTCGGGAGCTCCCCGACTGGGCCTGCTCAAATACCCTGCGTACTTTTGTAAGCTCTTGAGAGCTTTCTCCACAACCACCCTCGCTCTTAGTGTTGCTACCTAGCATGTTTCCCATCTTTTAATATGTTACTCACCGCGTGAGGCCCAAGGAATCCACCACTTACGCGTGAGCCTGAGGGGAGTCTAAAAGCCCTCAGAGCCCAGGCTTATCCCCAACTCACCTGTCTCGCAGCTCTGTACTGGAGCGTTGTCCGCTGTCACGTCTCGGGGGTGATCAGTCCCCATGCGGGCCACCAAATGTCGATGTCGCTCCTGGCCGGCAGGAAGGACACACGACAAAGTCTGGCAGTGGACAACCTTTTCTTTTATTTTCCTTCTCCGTACAGCCTGCCCTGGGATCGCTCCCAGCCGAAGCCTCCTTTGGTCCGCTCCCCGCGGCTCCTTCTGGGCTTCTACTTCCGGGCTTCTTCTTCCCCCCCAGGGGTGGCACCAGTATATATACGGATACAGTGTCCAATCATGTTAAAGTAAGCAAGGCAAGCTGATTGGCTAACATCATCAGTTGCCAGGCAGACTATATTGTTGAGCGGGTTGCTTACGCGGTAAGCAGGAAACTAACGTGCTCGATGGGAGGGGTAATCTACCTCAGGCTTTACTCTTTACTACAGGCCTCACGTCCGCCAAGTGAGGCGACCGGGCTCGGGGCTGCGGCTCCCAACACTCCAGCACCTGCCCACTTCCACAGCCCGACCTTCCTCCCCTCAGGGGACCAGGGATGCTACTGAGCCAGTGTCCAAAGCCGACAGCATGGCCCAGGGCCCGGGTGCTCACTTCCCAAGCCTCCTTCATGCAAACTCCATGCCCTCTGGCCACCTCCCAGTCCATGTTTATCAAGCATTCACTGCTGGCTAGAGTCATGGTACCTTTGACTTTTGTGTATATGGTATCAGGGATGTGATCCAGGGTCTTTGCACTGAACTACATCCCTGTGTGACATGGTATCACTGTGTCACACAGGCTGTGCTTGTACTTGCAATGCTCCTGCCTCAGCCTCCTACACTGTTGGCTATACATGTAAAGGCACAGTTTTAAGCACTATTCACAAATACCGTCCTTTCAGGAACCCAACCAAGTAAGGCCTACTGATAGCTCCACTTCACAGGTGAGAAAACCGAGCCATGGAGGACTATGCTTCCCTCATCTGCTCCTTTTCCTAGCCACACCCCTTCACCAGGGCCCTCCCCAGTGGCTGCATGATCAGAATGGCTTGGCACCAGTGTAGGGGCCTTGGGGCAGGGTAGTGTGGCGGGATGAGTTCCTTTCCCTGTGGCCTGCCAGGAGCCCCTCAGTCAGACTCTGTGTCATAGGCGGGACTACGGCGACACTGTTCCCTTGCACAGATGCTCCGCCCCAGCCCAGCCCACTCACGAAGCCATTGAGCATGATGTGGCAGAGCCTCTTGAGCGAGATGTAGTCTCTGTCTCAAAGAGGAACTGTGCCAGCTGGGAGTTGCGAAACAGGGGGCCCAGCGTGGCCTGGAGGAGAGGAGGCAGCTGGGTTACCACAGGGCAAGGGGTGCTGGGGGGCGTGAGCTGCACGGGCTGGGGCGGATCTCACCAGCAGCTGCTTCGGGATGAGCTGCATGACCAGCTTCTTCGACCACTGCTCCGTCTTCCTGGGGGGAGGAACAGGTGAGGGGACGTGGGGCCTGCCAGGCCGCCACCCTGCCACACGGGACACTCACAGGTTTTCGCCTTGGTTCAGGTAAACCTGGCAGGGCAGGGTCTGCTTCAGCTTCATCATGGAGTCAGAGTAGGGCCTGCGCCTCTGTGGGCACCAGAGGCTTCATGAGCTCAGCCTTGGGGTTGGACACAGCCCCAGAGCCAGCCAGACCCCGGAAGACCATGTGGCCCCACTCACCTCCTGCCACTCCAGGACGCCACTCCAGGCCAGCAGCTTGCCGCTGAACTGGTGCTGGCTGACAGCCAGCCCACCGAGAGAGAGCCTGGGTGAGGAGGGCCCAACGGGGCAGACCTGGGTTCTTTCCTACAGCAGAGGTGGGAGGAAACTGAGGCAGGGGACCTGGGGGGCCTGGCTGACCTCACCCATTCATGAGGGGACAGCCCAGGGCTCACAGCCCCGTCTGCAAACCCCCTGGACCCTGTCCAAACCCCTCACCGCAGGGGTCGGACGCCCCCCCACGTCCTTTTCCTGCACCTTGCATGTGCCTCCCTCTCAGGTGACACTGTCCCAGGCAGTCCTGACCACCCACTCCACCTGTACCTGAGGGCTAGGACACCTTTCAGCCCCAAGCCTGATGGGTTCCAGACCCAACTCAGACTCCAGCAAGGAAGTTTGCTGTACCACACTCAAACCAGCCCGGGCTGTACGGTCTCACACAGCGCCCCTGTCCCTGCAACACCAGGAACCCTTGTGGGGTGGCTTACTGAGCTCAACCCCGAAGTTCCAACTCCTGCTCTGGGTGGCCTCCTTGCTGACCCAGGGAGCCTGAGCCTGGACGCACAGGCAGTGCGGGCCGTCAGCTACATGGCTCTGCCTCCCCACAGCCGCTGCTTTCCCCAGGCTGTGCTTTCCTTTGGCCTTTTCCTTCTTAGCCCAACTTCCACTCAGCAGGGCCAGTCTGTCCCTCACTCTTTAGTTTCATTTTTTCAAATAAACTTTGCCACTGCTAAAAAAAAAAAAGACTATCAGAAGTATGTGTGAGGAGCTGCGGGTCCCTCACATCACACACTAGGAAAACCCCAGAACGGCCGGACAGCAAGCCCGCAGGTACAGATCTACTCAGGGGCAGCCCAAGCTAGCTTTTTAAAACCAGAGCCACCCCAAAGCAAACAATGGGAGGTTTCAGGGGAGCCTAGATGCAACCTCAACAGTAGGCACCCCCAGAAAAGAGTACAAGGGTGATTACCTTTAGTCTTTTTTTTCAACCTTTAGTCTTATTACTAGGGATTACTTCCTAATTTTCTTATAAGGCACACAAGATCTTTTGTCCAAGAATATAACAGATAGAAAATTCTTCTTTTGAGGGGGGCTCAAGAACAAAAACCTGGCATTGCTCTCCACCTGGACTGGGGGCCCTTAGTGAAAACGTGCTGTGTGATGTGTTGTAGGCGTGCAGGGCTGGGTGTCCAGGCAGGCATTGAGACCCATTTGCAGCTGCCCGCCTGGAAGGCTCAGCATCTAAGCAAATGCACCTGAGAACACTTGTGCCATCCAAGACTCATAATTTCAGTGTGCTTGGACCTAGGCTGTCCGGACTGCAAACATGCTTTTGGGACAATACACACGCACAGTCACACATGTATGCATTTACTGCCACGCACACCACTGACCGACATTCAGACCAGGGACAGCACAGGGTCCAACATAAGCTCCAGTGACTACGATTAAGCTCTGCTTGCCTGGGAGGGGATGCCGATAACTTAGGACCAGAGGGAGTTTGGGTAAGGCATCAGTTGCCACGCAGATACGTAAAACCAGAGGTACTGGCCAAACATAACGCACACCTGCAACAGGTTAAGAGCATCCTCGAAGAAAACCTTGCTGAAGTGTGTGTGCAGAAATTGTGTTACTTGCTACTTCCTGCACGGCAATGCGCAGTTGGGATTTGGAGAGAAGTTTAAAGCCTCCCAGTGTGTGTTTAAGAACCAAGGAATCGCTTCTGAATGACCAGATGGGAATGTTTACGGAAAGGAGAGGCAGGAGTGCCCGATAAGTTTGGGGTGCTCAGATTCTGAGCATGCTGCGGATCGGCAGGAGTTGGTTCGAGGCGCGAGCTGAGCTGCCTCTGCCAGGAACAAGATAGGGACAGCGGGGTGAGGAAACAAACCTGACACAAAATGGGGGCAAAATCTCACAGCCGGGCGAACCTGTGCATGATTGAACTCCGTTTGAAACGCCAAGACGCGCTTTCACTGCCCCAAGCAAACCTTTTCCAGATTTTCGAAAAGTATGTGCTTGCCTCAGATCTAGGGATGCCTGTGCAGCCTAAACTACCTACAAATCTGAACGTTTTACTTTTAAGGTCTGGGCTAAGGGCACTCCACGAAGGCATCCCACTGCTAGGCTCAAATGCGAATTCTGGGTGCACATGCCACAGTCACCCCTGGGGCACGGAAGAGCGCCCCTGGGTGCAACATGTGCAAAACAAGGAGCCCCCCTCCCCCGCGCACTTGCCGCTGTGCCCCACACCTCGTCCTCGAGTTCCAAACTACAGAAGAAACCAACTTTCCATTTGAAAAACAAGCCGTCCTCCTGCTCCCCACCCCGAGTTTAAGTCGAGTGGGCCGTGGTGTCAGGAATTTGTGCTCATCCTACCTCCGTAACCCCACCTTCCCACTGCCCCGCAGGAACGCATAACAAAGGGTAGAGCCTAGTGGGCACCACCGGGGAATTCCTGGGGCACCGGCACCGGGAGGCTCCCGGACCACCCTTCGGGACACCGCGGAGACCCAAGGACCGAGCGGACGCGAACTAAGGCGTGAGCCGGCTGACAGGTGACCGGACAGGTCCGTGGAAGGCTCTGGAAGAAGGGTGGGCGCTTACCATGGGAGGGACCGAGCGGGCCCGGATCCGCAGCGCCTGCGGGCTCGGAGGGCAGGGGGGCCAGGAGCGGGAGCGCACGGCACGCACCCTCAGAGGCCTCGGGGAGCGACGGCGACCCCCGAGCGTGCCCCCAGCGCCAGAGCGGCGCAGTGCGCGGCGTGGACTGACCATGGCAGGAGCGGGCTGAGCGGGCAGGAGTCGCGGCGGGCCACTGGGGGGCGGGGGACCTGCGGACTCCGCCGACAGAAGGACGCAGCGCGCAGCCTCGGAGGAGACAAGCTGAGCAGTGCCAAGCACGGAGCCGCGCCGCCGGCGGAGTCACGGCAGCCAAATCACTGCACAGCGCGGGGGAACCTGGCGCGCACCAATCGCGTCCGCGAGGGGGCGAAGCCAGGGCGTACCAGGGGGACGAAGGCGTCTCTGGAAAAGGGGCGTGTGAGGGAGGAAGGGCCAGGGGAAGACGCTGGGCCACTCCTCGACGGGGGAGGAGCTACGAGCTCGTGTCACACAGAAGCGATTTCGAGGGGCATGATGAGAGCGAAAGGCCGCACCAAAACGGAGGTGAAACCAGGGATACTCACGCGGAGCCGGGAGCTTACACCAAAAGACTACCCGTGAAAAAAAAATCCGTGGGAAAGTGGGGAGGACAGAATAATGGGTCTGCGGATGAGGACCCTCCAAGATGCCTGAGTATGTGGCTAGCATCACGCAAAATTTACGGTTTATAGGAGATGATGTGGCTATGTGGGTAAACAACTACAACTCCCAGCAGCCTTTACGCACCCCGGGTGGGGCTGGCTGTTTGCGAGATCCCGCTCCCATAGCCGCATGCCCATTGGTCACCGCCCTCAGCCCCGCCTACCGCTCCCTACTCCACTCCCTAGAGCCTGGCCTCTCAGGCACCGCAGGACGTTTTTTTGTTTTTTGTTTTTTTATCGGTACCCAGGATCGAACTTAGAACTGCGCGCTTCCAAGGCAGGCGCTTATGCCGCTAAGCTAAATCCCCAGCCCCCGCAGGACGTTTCTTGTAGTCGCTGCGTCGGTTCAGTTGAAGTGAATGTGTAGTTGTTACGCTTCTAAGAGTTTTGTTTCTCAAATGTGATAACATCCAGCCTTAAGAGTGGTTGAGTCACGAAAGTGAGCTTAATAAAATGTAAGAAGCAGTACTTGTTTGACACAATAACTATTCTTGTTATTCTTTCTTTAAAAAAAGAGAATCCCATTAGGGCTGGAAGTGTAGCTCAGAAGCAGAGTGAGCACCCAGCCTTCCGGAGCTGTCCCTGGGTTCTGTCCCTTACCGCAGAACACACAAAAATCCTATTATTAGTACCCGTCCGCTTTTGTGCTGGCCAGTGAGTATACTGCGATGGTCATACTATTCCAGCTCCCTCACCAAGCCTGGGTCTGTGTTCACAGTTGGTGATAAGTGTTAATTAAAACGAATGGAAGTCAGCTGGTGACCAGGAGAGTTTAGCAAGGGAAGTCAGGAAAGTGATCTTTGAGCAGCCTGCAATTAGAAAGGGTGGAAGAGTTTGCTAAAACGAGGGTAGAACAAGAACCAAAGCCGGCAAGTGAGCAGAAAGGAAGGAAGGAGCGCCTGAGGAAAGCGCTGGCCCCGCCTTGCGGAAGCGGTCCAGGCTTGGAGAACACAGCACTCTCACTGACACAGGGAACAAAATCATTCCCAGAATGCTCAGCACCACACAGTGCCTCCGTGGGGCCGGGACCCAGAGTGGCCTGCTGAGAAGGCAGTTAGACAGCAGGGTGAAGGACATGGGGACTGGACTGGCAGGGAAACTCTTTTTAGTCTGTAGGCTCCCTGGAAGTCTCACTGTATGTGAATATTGTCTGCTGGAGAGTTTAACATTTTGAAGACCCAGCTCTTTTTACAGGACCCTCCAGGTTCTGTGTTTAAAATCAACCAGTTAACAAGTGAAAGCTGGAGAGCCAAGAGAAGACTGACACAGCCAAGAGGACAGATGGGATGGATGGAGGCCGTCTGGCTGCAGTGGCAGTGATGGGACTGCTCAGTTTCACGGTGGATTTCCAAGCTGGGGCACAGAGGCTTGTGCAGAGACGGTGGGAGGGTGAGGAGAGGAGATGTCAATGGTTTTGCCTGTATAGCGATTGCACTAACTGAATGAAAATGAGAATTGCCATTTGTGGGAGGGTTGTTTTGAGACCAGGTCTCACTGTGTAGTTCAGACTGGACTTAAATTCATTATGTAGCCCAGGTGGCTTTAAACTCAGGCAATCCTCCTGCGTCAGCCTCCTGAGAGCTCGGATTACAGGTATGCACCACTACACCTGGAAACGCTGACTTCTTAGTGTTCTGGCTCCCAGTGTCCTTAGAATGAATGAATCTGAACCCCTTACTATGGCCCCGGCTGCCCTTCCAGGTGATCTCATGATCCCTACTCTTGCCTTCCTGCTTTCTATGTAATTAAGGTCTCCTCTTCCTTTAGATACCATCTGGCCTCACGTTTATACAATAGAGAGAAGTGTGTCAGGACACTCCAGGGTGGGCAAAATGGAAACTCACTTCAGAAGGGCAACAGTGACCCATACACACCCATGTTTGTGGTAGCAAAACTCAGTAGCTAAATCTTGTAGGCAGCCAAATATCAGTGATGGCAAACCTTTTAGAGCTTCCAATGACAGAAACAACCCACTGTGGCACGCCTGCCTTAGGTCTTCCACAGCTGCAACCTGTCATCAGCAATGAATGGGTAAAAACAATGTGGTATTCATACACAATGGAGTACTACTGTGCCATAAAGAGGGATAAACTTAAGTCATTTGTAGGAAAAGGGATGCACCCTGAGACCATAACGTTAAGTGAAATAAATCAGATTAGTGTGAATATCACGTTTCTTTTATATGAGAAACCCCAGGTAGAAATAAATCAAAGAGGGCCAGGGATTTACCTTAGTGGCATAAGTGCCTGCCTCACAAGCGCAAAATGGTAAGTTCGATCCCCAGTACAAAAGAAAGAAATCAAAGAGCAAAATAATAGCTGAATAACAGGAGACAGGCAGATAGATCTTCTGCAAATGACAAAAGGACCAAGACACTGGAGGAAGGGAGGGGTGGGGAAGGAGACATGAAAGGAGTTAAAGATGTGCTAGGCATATGCTCTAGATTCCCCATAACGAATGTAATCACATACCGCAACCGCATAGTAATAAAAAGTTTTTTTCAAGCCCTACACAGGGAAGCTCCCTGAAGCTAGTGCCTCTCCTATCCGTCAAGGTGAAAGTCGCTCTCTTTTAGCGCCAATTGTGTGGGCCGGTGACCACCATCAGGACTAAGCAGCTCCCATCGGCAAGGCAGTGCATGTCCCCAAGCCTGTGTATGTCAGGTGCCCTCAGTGTGACACCTTAAGCCCCTATCAAACTATGGAACCCTAACACAAAGAGGTGCTACCTGCAAAGCAGGTTCCCCACGCCAGAAAAGAGGCAGGAGGTGCCGGAAAAAAGCTGCTGGGTTAAGAGTGAGCCAAGCCCTGTTGGCTTCGTAAGTATCTTCCGGTTCCTGAGCACTCAGAACTTTAAAAACTGAGGTCACTCATCTGGCTTGTGAGTGTAGTTTATGAAGAAAATGATGTATGCTGACTCAGAGGCCAAGACTGAAAGCAAAGGTCTTGGTTCTAGTAGAGAAATGGGTGCAGGTGGCATTTAAAGTATTAAAACTGCCAGAAGTGGAGGCGTGTGTGTGCCTGTAATCCCAGCACTCGAGAGGCTGAGGCAGGAGGACTGTTGCAAGTTCGAGCCTGGGCTACAAAGTGAGCTCAAGAACCTGAACTGTAGGGACTGGGGATTTAGCTCAGCGTCATAAGCACCTGCCTTACAAGCAGGCAGTCGTGAGTTCGATCCCTGGTACCGATAAAAACAAAAAGACCAAAAAAAAAAAAAAAAAAAAAACCAAAAGTGTTAAAATACTCATTTGTGTTATCTGCCAGGTGTTTCTTAGCTCCCCAGTGGCCCAGTGACCCTGCCTTGATTGAGTAGAATCCTGTACTTAATCCTGGGCCATGAGAGTGACAGTATGTGATTTCAGCCTGGAACATCTACTTGCTATGGGGAGGCCAGCCACTCTGCACCTTTACTCTGTCGCCTGGCATGCTGCCACTCCAGGCAGGATGAGAAATCGGCTCCGGCTGTACCCAGCACTGTTACTGGAGGTGGGTATGCAGGTCCTCAGGACATCCTTTTTGCTCCCTCTCCCTAACCCAGCATTTATTACTCAACTCCCAGTTTGAATTCATTAAAAAGATGAACTGGGCTGGGTGTGGTAATCCGTGATCCTAGCATTTTAGGAGGCTGAGGCAGGAGGACCACAAGTGTAAGTCCAGCTTGGGCAATTTATTTGGTGGAATGTTTAAAGAATTGGGATGAACTACATCTCCAGTACTGGGAAAGAAAATCAGGCCTGCCCAGAACAAGCTCTACAAGCCCTTGTATTGTGCCTTGACTCTCATCCCAGCTCCCGAGTTGGCCCTGAGTTAGTTCACAGCGAGTGTGTCAAGGACACCCACGTCTAATTCTTCACAGCTCTATCCCAAGAGCCCAGCACTGCCTGGTGAGTGGGGGTATGTGGGGGGCCCCAGCACACCCATCACTGCGAGCCACCTAGGCTGGCTGTCACATCACGGCCCCACACACATACATCCCACCTGAAGCCAGCGTGCAGCAGTGCCACCAGTTCCCTACCCTGGGGACACCAGTAAAAGCATCTACCTCCGGCCCCAGGTATGTCTTTCAAGAACAAACTAATGGAAACCAAAAATGTTCCCAAGCACTGGCTCCTAGCCTTCTGGGACACACAGGTGCTACCTGCAGCTGACACGCATTTCAGACGCAGCCTGACCCACTGCAATTTGCTTCCCCAAGTGCACTGTGGCCTGGCTGGTGACAATAGCAGTAGCTGCTCCCAGCCACTGGGTGCAAGGGGCACCTTGTGTTCAGAGGAAAGCGTCCCCCCAGGATCTGCTCCACCTGAGCTGGCTCATTCTCAGCAGCACAGGGGGCACGGGTTCTCCCAGGGGGCTGTGTTCCTCACTCCGGGAAGGGGACTGGGCCGCACAGGTCTCTGTGGTTGATTTAGCTGGACGTCACAGTTGGGAGAGGAACTCTGGTGACTGGGAACATTTCTACTAATCTGTTTCAGATCCAAACCCGGGCTTCCCTGGGGGGAACCCCTTACCCCATAGAGGCAGCACACAGTGCTTCCAGCCCCCCATCTTGCCCCCTTTCAGCAGCTTCGGGCACAGCAATTGCTCCTTCCTCGGAAAACCACTCGTTTCCCGAGACACCACACTTGCCTGGTTCTTTTCCTGGCTTCCTTCCGGCTCCCCCCACCCCTTGCTCAGGGTCTCTCTGGTGGGACTCTGCCCTCGTTCTGGGGTCTTCTCCTCTTCCAGAGGTCACAAAATGGTGGCCCGGCAGCCTCTGGGGACCCATCAGCAGAGTTTGTTTGGTCCTCGAAGTGTTTTGGGTGTCAATTTGAAGGCCATAAGGCAGGGCAAGCACTCTCCACGTTCGCCACAGTCCCCATGGGGCCTAGGGGTTTACACCTGTCCGATTTGCGTCTTTTCGTCACCTGCCTGGTCCCTGCTAAACAGGCTGCCCAGGATGTCTCCCCACCTTCAGGTCTAGCTACCACCAGGGGCCCTAGTCCATCTCTCCTGTGCCTTAGCTCGTGGACAAGGTGGGTCCCCAGCCCCAGGGGGGCCCCAGATGTGGTGTGAACAGTCGAGGACAGGGACAGAAAGTCGCTTGCCTCCAGGGGTCAGGTGGGCCATCGAAATGAGTTAACTGGTCAGGTAGAAGAAAAGTCCACGGCCAGAAACATAATCAAATTGGATCTTTACTCAACTATGGTGAATGCATGGAACAGAATACAAACATGTAGGATACTGGAGTTTATAAAGTCAAAATTGAAAAAATACAAATTGAAAAATAGAAGTATTTAATTATTAAAATTTTTTTTCTCTCTCATAATTCTTCTGCTCCTTCAAGTTGAGGCGGGAAGGCTGACAACTCCCCTTCCACACCGAGCTGTCAGGGTCAAGTCTTGGAGGGGCAGGCGCCCCAGGCGACCTAGACTCTGTCCCCAGGAGCGAGCTTCGCTGGATACGGGCCCTAACCCTAACCAAAGGGGCGGCTGTTCACACAAGCGTGGGCGCCCCAAAATGGACCTCGGACCTCGCCACCATCCCGAGCAACTGCCTTTGGGACGGGTGCCCTCCGCCTTGCAGTTCAACTACTCCTGTGGCCTACAGCCACGGGGCCGGGGCAACGCCCGCTGGCCACAGCCAGTGGGACAGCGCTATTCCACTGTCACAGAAAGTGGGTGCAGAGTCTGGGGATTTGGCCTTTGAGCCCACCATCCAGGTGACTGTGGTCCAGGCCACCAATTCCACTTCCAGAAACCAACTGTGGTGAGGAGAAAGGAGGAGTCGGATTACGCCTGGGGAGTGCAGTTCTGTCTCTGCTGGTCCAAGGCCATCTCAAGTGTCCACTCAAGGAGCAGCTTGTGGCTGGCCCTGAGGAGCTGTGCTGGCGTTCAAAGCCTCTGGCTGCCTCCTCAGGGAACCGGCTTCTGGTTCAAGCTGTTATGGACACTTGCCCACAGCTAACCATGAGGAGCATAAGACTGCAGAAGTCCACCGTGCATCCCTTTGGCTTCTCGGGTCCACTGAATGGAGGTGACAGGCCAGTATGTGACTATTCTTGCCCCTACCAACACCGCTGCTCAGGTCACCGCCTCAACTATCTGTGGTTGTGCTTCCAAGTTCTGAGCGCTGCATGTGACATCGCATCTCTCGGTACAGTCTGTCACTTCCCAGCATCGGGCTCCCCTGGTCACCTCCAAATCCTCAACACCACAAATAAATAAAGCTAACCGGTGGAAAGAGTTTATGAGCAGCAACAGGAAAGGCCACGACTGATGCGCCTCCTTCAGGCAGCCAGGCTGGCAAAGCCTGGTGTGTCTTCCGTGTACCCCGAGGCGTATGGGCCCGCAGCCCGGGCCCTCCTCATGGTGAGCCCTACTGACACTTAAGGCCCTTTTTCAGTTCGTTGAGGATGGCGTCGCGGGTCTGCTCTGTGTACTGGTCGTAGCTCTTGCTGTGCCTGGACTCATAGTGGCGCTTCAGGTTGTACTCTTTCAACACAGACACGATTTTTTTGCATATTAGACACGTAGGCATGCTCTTCACTTCCACAAAGAAATAGTCTCGCTCCCATTTTTCTCGAAACACACGGCCCTCTCCTTCTCTCTTTCGTTTTGCCGCTTTTGGTGGAGACATGGGTACAAGAAAGATTTCACTTGTCTCTGAACGCTACCAAGGAGCAACCACAGTGCCAGCCCCGAGCCAAGGTGGTGGGGAGCGGGAGGGGAGGTGGGGACTGTGGCGAACCGGGGAACACGCGCCCCGCAGAAGGGCAGCTCCAGTCATGGAGCCAGGCGTAGGGAGGCCCGGGAGCCAGGCCAGGAGCCAAGACTGCGGTGTGTGTATCTGGGCGTGAATGAACCCGATTTATACAGCTACCTCGTAAGGAAAGAGGACCACGTATGCTAACACAGGGAAGGCCAAACAAAACTCACCTGCAGAGTGGCCCATGGGCCACCAAATTGCAACCTCTCTCCTGGGGCAGGCCCAGAGGGTGGCGGTCCAGGAATGGACCACACTGTGTGACGCTTACCTCCAGTACCACAACGGTCACCTCGTGCCACCCCCTGGCTACTGCCTGCACCCTGCTGCCTGCAGATGTCTCCAAGGACACCCTGCAGGGCCTTCGCCTCACTGTCCCGACCCTGTCCCCTGCAAGGTCTTTCCTTGGGGATGGCCACACTGTCCACCTTGTCCAGTCTCAAAAAGGCCATCTCCAACAAGAGCCCAGATCCTGCCCTGCCTTTATGGACACTCAGCCACTCCTATGGTTTCCACCGTACACTATCACCTGGATGGTCCTGAGCTCCAACATGGTATCCATCACTTAAGCATCACTGGGGCCACTGGCACTCACCGTCTACAGCACCCAGACTGGCCCCCAGCTCATGATCCCCATGGTCCTGTGGCCATGGGACGAGGCACGAGCTGCTGGTCTGCCATGTGCCGCCTGCCCAGCTCTCTGGCTCCAGCTGCCCCAGCTGCCAGCCTAGCCCCTGCTCTCCAGGAGTCTCAGGTGCCAGGGCCCCTTCTGTCCCTGAGAACCTGGTCCTTCCTGACCCCTAGAACTGCTGCTCCTCTCACCAGACTCTGCTGTCTGGCTAGGTCTGATGCCCCGGCCTGGGCTCCCTCAGTCCCTGCTCAGCCTGTGGGAGCACTGGTCCTGCCCCTGCCTGCCTGGCACCTGCTGCCTCCGCGCCTCCCAGCCAGCCAGCTGTGTCACACGGTCTGACTCAATGTGAGGCCCAGCACCACCCAGCCTGGGGCCTGGGGGAGGTCTGTGGAAGTGAGGACAAGCACAGAGATGACCGGGTGTCCTCCTGCCCAGTGCTGGGGGATGTCAGTGACGGGAGCCGGGCGTGTGTTAAAAGGAACTTTATTGGGTGCTGGGGGTTCAGATGAGATCCATGAGGATGTCTTCCTCCATGACGCTGGGCTGCAGGCCTGACTGGGGGACCGGGCCCCGGGGACCCCCGCTCAGCAGCATCTGACCTGGGGGGCGGTGGGGAAGGACTGCATCTCCCAGTAGTCCCTGGGCCCATGGAGGGCCCTGGGCCTGCTTCTTCCCTCCGCCGGGAGCCTGCGGCATTTTGTTGCTCAGGAAGCCTTGGGGTCCCATCTGAGGTGCCTACTGACCCCACTGGTTGCCAAGAGTTTCCCATGAGTCTTTGGGAGCCCTTCCCCTACACTAGTTCTGGCCCCAGACTATTTTCCAGCACCCCGACATGAAGGAGAGGATCATGGGAGAGTTCTCTCCCTTTAGGTCCTTGATCCAATGGGAGGTGCTTCCCAAGTAGCCCAGAGTTCCCTGAGGGTCTCAGGGAGACCCCTTCGCTATGGCACTTTTGCCCAGCCACCTGCTCGCCGCTGGAGCTCCCTTACCTGGCATCGGAGCCCGAGGGGGAAGCTGGGCGGGCCAGGACTGAGCGGGCGGCGGGTGCAGGAGCGGGGGACCCAGCTGGGGCTGCCCCAAGCTCTGGTGAGGTGGGGGCAGCAACGCAGGAGCCCCTGGTGGCTGGAGGTGGTGGAGGGAGGCCTGGGGCGGGGGCACCCCGGTCTGGGGCTGGGGGAATACAGAGCGAGGCTCAGAGGCTAGGGAGAAGCCCTGCCACACCCACCATCCTGCCGCTACCTAAGGCTTCTCAGGGGTCTCAGCCTGCACTTTGGGAGTCTCAGCAGAAGCCCCCTAAATGGGAAGGAGGCAGTGGGTGGTGTTTTGCTGAGAGCCCCAGGAGTCCATCATACCCACGAACCAAAGTTGACCTCCCTCCCCCGAGACAAAAAGATGAGAATTGCTGGGGCCAGGGCCCCAGCTCCCAGCTGATCTCCCCACATCTCACCGGTGGCGGGTTGAGAAGAAGGCTCCGCAGCTGGGGATTAGCCCCAGGATTCTGGGGCCGAAGGATGGGTCCAGGAGGGGGTGGGCCAGGGGCAGCTCCAGGAGGGCCTTGGGGGGCACCTGGAGGGGCCTGGGTGGTACCTGGGGCCTGGGGCTGCCCTGCGGCCCCAGATGCCCCCACAGCACCTTGAGGCTGGGGCTGTGGTGGGCGGAGCTGAAGCTGCTGGGAAGAAAGATGGGGGTGAGGGAGCATGCAGAGGCCCACGCCCCGCTGCCTGAAGAAACAGAAGTTGACATAGGACGTCCTCTACGGCTGTCCCGCCCTGTCCCTGACCAACCCGTCATCCTCACCAGATTCTGCGAGGGCCTCGCTTGGTCCTCCAGAATGGGGCCCAGACCTGGGGGTGCCTGCTGTCCCCCCATCTGCACAGGGAGAGGGGCAGGTCAGTGACCGGGGCAGGGTGTCTTATGCCCGGGCAGGTGCAAGTGTTGGTGGGATGCGGCTCACCCCGCGCTGCTGCTCCAGCTTCTGCTGCTGGACTTGCTTGTGGTTGGTGATGACCTGCCGGATGCCGTTGACAAAGCCACTCTGGTCGTAGGGGATGAGGCCCATGAAGATCTTCTTCTTGGACGAGTAGAGCAGCATGAGCACGCGTACCTCGCAGGGGGCCGTGTGGGGGAAGTGCACGCAGCCGGCCTGCAGACAGACAGACAGGAGGGCACCTCAGGTCCTTGTATGCTGGAGGCGGCTTCCATCGAAGACAGTTCCAGAAGCCTCTCACACAGGGATGGCAGGGGTTTCTACTGAAGGAGGCTGAGAGCAGAGCTGATCTGGGGCAACTCCAGACAAAAAGTGGGGCTCAGGTGAGTCAGGGACCCACAGGGCAGGGCGAGACTGGCTTGTGGGGACAACAAGGGCCCTGAGCAGGGCCACTCTGACTGGTGCCACCTGCGTAGTCCTTCTTTCCTTGGCCACAATGAGCTGGGGCTGCCCTGAAAGGCCACCTGGGGGTAAGGGGCACAGCCTCGAAGGAGAGGTGTGGATGGTAGTGGCGGCCCTGAGGCCAAGTCACAGCCGCACCGTCTCACTCAATGCTCTCCATGGGTGCCTGCCTTGTGAACTGAGGAAGCAGCACCAACTGCACACACTCACTAACCAGGGGACAGGGCATAACCATATACACCGCCCAAGGCTCACCAACAGGAAGTACAGTGGACGCTGTGGTGATCTGGAGGCAGCCACAGGTCACACTTTGCAACAGGGGCTGTGGGAGCTGACCTTTTCTCGGAGCCTCAGTTCCCCACCTGAGGCAGACCTGCCAGCTGCCTACCAGGCACTTGTGTGCCTGCAAGGAGCCCTGGCTGCTCAGGAAGTGATGTGTCCAGGTCCCAGGGTACAAATCCCAAGCCACCAGGCTGGTCCCTGCTTCAGGACAGGTTTTTTTTTTTTTGTCTTTTTCTTTTTCTTTTTTTTTTTTTTTTGTCTTTTTCATTTTTATCGGTACCAGGGATCGAACTCACGACTGCCTGCTTGCAAAGCAGGCGCTTATGCCGCTGAGCTAAATCCCCAGCCCCCTAGCTTCTGTTCTTTCCCTTACCTAACTTCAACACAGTGAGCACACTGCCCTAGCCCTGGGAACTGCCCTGTCCCTCATAGGGGAGGCCAGGAGAATCACAGACCCAAGCCGAGGAATCTGAAGCCACGAGAGCAATCCTGATGGCAGCCCCACTGGACCCTGTCTGTCCTCCCAGCTGCCTCCCAGGATGCACCCTTGGGGCTGGTGCTGAGCCAAGGAGGCAGAGCTGTGATACAAGCCGCGCACAGGAGTGCACTGATCTTTTAGCAGGACCCCCATCAGCTCTTTGTGTGACTGCAGCCCCATGAGTGCCCCCAAGCCAGACCCCAGCATAGTGGAAGTCCCCTGTGTTTGTACACAGGGCAGTGGTCTCTTCAGAAAGGTCAGTGTCCAAGAGAACTCCTCGAGGTGGTCCCCAGGATGTGGACAAAGGCCACAGAGGGTGCTACGTGAGGACATGGGACACCAGGAAGATGGCCTTGAAGGCTGCAGCAACATGGGGCAGAGGCAGGGGCAGGGAGTGCGAGTCCTCCTCTGGAGCTCTGAACTCAGCTTTCTGCCCCCCAAGACCTCTGGAGACTAAGCTTCTGTTGTGCTGAGCCCCCATGGCTAGGGCAGTGTGCAGGGCAGCCCCAGGAATCTACCTGTGCCAGGGCCCAATCAGAAGCGAAAGCTTCCTTCCCGCTGCCCCAGACACTGGTCAGAGCGCCCCGGGACACACCTTGGCCCAGTGTGTAGTTCAGGGTGCAGCGAGGTGCCGGGTTCTAAAACCCATGAGCCCTCACCACAGCTTGAGAGGCCCTAGTTTGACCCCCACCCTCCGCAGAGAGCCCCCTTGCCAGGCACCCAGGCAGCAGGCAGGATGGAGGCAGTGCCACCCCACCCGCTAGGGACTCACGAAGCCGTTGCCCATGATGCGGTAGAGGCCTTTGAGGGATTCCAGGTCCTTGTTGGTGAAGTGGAACTGCACCATCCTCGAATTCCGAAACAGAGGGCCCAAGGTGGTCTGAGGGGAAACCGAGGTCGCCATGTGGGGAGTGAGGAGGGAACAAAGGCAGGGCATCGGGGAGACTGAGTGGGGGCCCTGAGGCTACGCACCAGCAGCTGCTGGGGGATGAGCTGCATGATCAACTTCTGCGGCCACTGTTCTGTCTTCCTGGGGGGGGGGGCACATGAGGTCAAGGGTCAGGAGGGAGCGGACCCTGGCCCACCCTGCCCCCAAAGGCCACCTACAGGTTCTCTCCATGATTCACGTAGACCTGGCAGGGCAGGGACCGGGTCAGCTTGGTGTTGGCATCCACCGAGGCAGGTTTGGGTTTCTGAGGGGGAAGAAGTCGAGTCATGGTGAGAAAGGGTCCAGCCTCCCCTGGCCATCCCCAAGCTCAAGATGACCCCCTCTTCATCAGCCACAAACCTCCCCTGGCCCAGACCCCCCAGCTCTGGCCCTGAACCCCAAGAGCTACTATCCCCAGAGGCCCCAACCACGGTGACCCCATCTGGTCCCCAAATCCTGTGTTTTCCTGGATCCTTCACCTCAGCACAACTTATCCTGCGCCGATCTCCACTCTCAGCTCCTTATTTTCTGGAGGCGGGGCCGGGTACGCCTCTAAGTGGGCTCCTCCACCCTCGGGCTCCCAAGTGTTAGAGGACAAGAGTGACTGCCCAGCGCGAATACAGCGTTAGCCCCACCTTGGTCCCAAGCCACAGACCCAAGGTTCAGGGAGGCCCTAAGTTCGCTTGCCCAGCACAGCTGCAACCCACTCACCTCCTGCCACTCGAGCACCCCGCTCCAGGCCAGGAGCTTGTTAGACACTGACTGCTGCCCACCAAGGGCTGGTGCCCCGAGCTGGGCCGGGGAAGGACCACTGACGCCACCTGGGGCCACCGCGCCCGCCTGCAGAGGAGAAAGAGCAGGAGCAGCATTGCTCGGTACAGCTGGGAGTGTCGGTCCCCAGCACTACAGGATGCGAGGACGCCCAGGGTCCCCGGGTCTCCCTGACCCCTGGAACCACTCTTGAGATTCTTCCCCAACCCGCCCACCTCATGTGTGCTGGGAGCCCCAGAGGCCCCAGGTCCCCCCAAGAATGTCCCAAGCTGGGAGGGCAAATGGCACTTCTAACTGTCCTCACGCCAAAGCCGGAAGGGATAGATGTCTGCACCTACCATGGATGGGGCCCCTGGCTGTGCGGCAGCAGGGGCCAGGCCTGGGCCAGGCACCACTGTGGAGACCAGGTTGGGCTGGGAGGCAGGAGGTGCCTTGGGGGCACCAGGAGGCCCAGGGGGTAATGTTGGGGGCGTGGCCTGGCTGAAGGGGGGTCCCACTCCAGAGGCAGCCTGCTGCAGAGGGTTGATGGGCGAGACTGCAAGAAAGATGGGGAACAAGTGAGGAGCCATGCAGAGAAAAGCCATGCTTCTGGAACCCACCACCCCACTGTCTGGCCCAGGGACTCACAGCGTGGGCCCAGCCCGGCCTTCTGGTTCTTGGCAGCCTCCACTGCATTCTGGGCTGCGACCTGAGCCGCGCTCAGGTTCCCGGGGACCTGGAGGAGGTGGGGCTGGGGTGTGCTGAGGCCTGGACACAGAACCCTGTTGTGCTGCCCCTCACCACGTGGTCCCACCCTGTGTCCTTAAGACTCCCTGACCCCACACATCCCAGTGCTCAGTTAGGTCTCTGCCATGAGATGACACCTCCTGTACAGCCCAGGCCTGAGTCCCATCTTGGTGACAACATCCATACCTGATACTGTGGCGGCACAGGGGGCAGGGACTGCTGGGGTGCGGCTGAGAGTGTGGGACCGGAGGGTGGCACGGGTGGCAGAGGCACCTGCTGCTTGGGCTGGAGGGGGCCAGGGGTTGAGCCACCCCCAACTGAGCCCAGGACAATGGCCAAGTACCCACATACAGCAGCGGAGAGGAGGAAGGGGAGAGAAACCCAGAATCCATGTCAAGGAGAGCAGGAGACACTTGAGCCCTGCCCATCCCACCGCACTGCGCCAGGCCTCACCGGGCAGCACCAGCCCGCGCACCAGCACCATGTGCCGGGGGTCCTGGCTCACATCTGCTGGCGGTTGCAGTGGCTCTAGCATAGCTGGAGGTGCAGCCTTCTCAAACAGCAGCCGCAGGGCAGGCAGCTTCCGAGGGGACACAATGGAGAAGTGGATCCCACGCTGCAGGAGGGAACATGGAGATCAGTGCAGGGCCCCTCCTGGGCACCACTGTGGACTACCAGCCACCACCCCAATGGTGAGACCAGGGATCAGGCCCCATGGGACACGGGCCTCAGCTGTTTTGACAAACACGAGGAAAAAGAGCCACACACAGAATCACGGCTCCTTAGGGATCCAGGTCCCAGCCCTACTCCTTAGGATGGCGGGGTGGTGGGGGTAGGGTAGTGTCCTAGCCAGACCCTGACCCGGGCCCAACTCCGCACCTCCCCAATCTCCTGCACGAGGCTCTCAGTCGTGTACCCTGAGTACGTGGTGCTCTCCACCGCAGGCAGCAGGTACGGCGGTGAGTTGCAGATGAGCAGGCAGACTCGGTGCGTCTGGCCACTGGTGGTGGAGGACAAGGCACAGAATGGACCCCACTGGTGACCAAGAAGGGACGGGGCCTAGCAGTGCTGAGGCTCATACCCGCACCCCCAGCAAGTCAGAGCAACACTCCATTTCATAACCAACAGCACGAAGGGCTAGGGGACTTGCTATATAGTAGGGGATGCCCGAGGAGGCACCATGTGGCAAGCTCTACTCACATCTGCTCGCGCATCTTCTTAAAGTCATCAAACAGCTGCAGTGCTGTGCTGAGGCCTTCTGCGATGAGGCTGCAGCTCTCACCGCCACCACCCATGAACCTGCAGGAGGCTAAGCAGTCAACCCCGCTGCCATCACCCTGGCCAGGCCACCCCAGAGAGCCTGCTTCCTTCCTGTCCCCCACCAGCAGCAGACTGGGTGCCCTGGACACTACTGAGTCCCCTGCTCTGTCCTGAGAGTTAGGATGGGAAACCCCAAGCCTAGACCCCTAGGTCTGTGTCACTCTGGGTGTGACAGCCACCTGGCCACCCTCCTGCAGTCCCTTCCTTCGGGGTGCGTGGCCAAGGGCAGGGCCTCCTCTGTCCATCCACATGTCCCCTCCCCAAGCAGTCTGAAACATGTCCCCTCCCCAAGCAGAGTCTGAGGTCCTAACATTCAGTACCTCTCAGGGTGACCTCAATGAAAAGGAGATCACAGAAGTGAGTAAGTGGGGAGCACTGGGGGTCCCACCCCCATATAAGGGACAAGCTGAACACAAAAACAGACACGTAAGAGGGAAAAGATGGTGGCCCTGTGAAGACTGGGTAACACTGCTGTCAGGCAGGGCACAGCTGGGGCCACCAGCAGATGACAAGAGTCAAGGAAGGCCCCTTCCCCTCAGCTTTCAGAGTCTGGCACTGCTAGCACCCTAACCTCGGCCTCCAGCCTTAAAAAGAGCACTAAATAAGCAAGAAACAAAGCACCTGCACCCAGGAGTCCGTGGGCAGCAGCGCTCTCTCTCCATGCCCATGAGTGGAGCCTGCCGGAGTCCAAGGCCACCAGAGGCCAGGCCCCAGGAAGGCTCAGTAAGCTCACACCCTTCGCCACACCTGCATCCTGCAACACACCTGACCCCCAGGCTTCTGTGCACTGTAGTCCAGGGCCACAGCCCCACCCTGGCCTAGTCAGGAACCCAACTGATCGGTGTCACAAGCCCAATATGGCGGTGTCCTCCCCGACATGCCCGCCTCAATCAACACAGGTCACCTGCCACAATGGCTGTCCACTGCCCACCGCCCACTGCCACCCTGCCGGTGCACTCAATCTCCCATGCCCTCTCTGCAGGGTACCCACTTCACGCAGGTACCACAGGTGGCTGGGTGGGCGCCCATTTCCCTGCCTTCCACTCCCACTCAGCACTGCAGCGCAGCCCTGCTGCCCTCCTTCCCCTTTTGAGGCAGGACTGTTTCCCAGAGATTGTTTAGGGCCACAGAGGTAGACAGACCCCACTGAATAAATTTACCCCACAGCCAGCCTGCTGTCTCACCTTCCAGCACTAGAGAAACCAATCCCCAACTTTCTCAGACCTTTGTGAGACGAGAGCCAACTGCCCCGCCTGAGCTGGGCTGAGCCGTCTTCCTGCCCCCGCCCCTTTCTTGTTGTTGATATTTATTTTGTTTTGGTTTGGTTTTTTGGTGCTGGTAATCAAACTCAGAACCTTGTACTTCCTGCTCCTTTTTTTCCCTTTGTTTTTCATTTCTTTGCTTTGAGACTCAGTCTCACTATGTAGTCTGGGTTAGCCTCAAACTCATGGCAATCTTCCTGCCGTGGCCTCCTGAATGCTGAGATTACAGGCATGAGCCACCATGCTCAGGTTGGTGTCTCTTTTTGGGATGATGAAAATGATTTGGAATGAGACAGAGGTGGTAGCTGTATGAAACTGTGAACACAGTTAAGACTACCAAATTACACACTTTAAAAGGGTTACCTCTGTCAGGTGTAGTGGCGGCATCTGTAATCCTAGCACTTGGGAGCTGAGGCAAGGGGATCACCAAAACCTCACAACCAGCCTGGGTGAGTTCAAGACCAGCCTGTACTACATAATCAAGACTGTCTAAAAAAAGGGAAAGGGGTATAGAGGGGCATGCCTGTCATCCCAGCTATTCAACAGGCTGAAGCAGGAGGACTACAAGTTTGAGGCCAGCCTGAGCAGTCTAGTGAGACTATCACAAATTATTAAAAATTAGAAAGGGCTAGATACATGGTTCAGTGGCAGAGCATTTGTCTAGCCTGGGCTCAATCCCCAATACAACAAACTAGAAAAAATAAAACTCTGGAGGAAAAGTGTGATGGGCCATCCACTACGAGACCCTAAAGCTTGCTTTTTTCATACTGGACTTGACTGCAGGTTATGCTGACAGCTTCAAGAAAGATGTACAAGGGGCTGGGGATTTAGCTCAGCGGCATAAGCCTCTGCTTTGCAAGCAGGCAGTCATGAGTTCGATCCCTGGACCAATAAAAAAGAAAAAGACAAAAAAAAGAAAAAAGAAAGACGTACAACAAATACTGTCAGGCAGATGAGAAACACTTGAAAGTGGGGAGAACTAAAATGTGTCTACTTGTAGCACATGGCTTAAGGGCCACCAAATGCATATATCTCACTCTCTTACTTACGTAGTTTGCAGTCCTAGGGATCAAACCAGGCCCTTGAGTTCACTAAGCAAACACACAGCCATCAAGCTCTGCCCCCAGCCCCATTCTTACTGCACGTTTAACTTTACCTGGGTCTGAGATTGATCGTAATGGCTGAGGACATACACTCACTCAGTGGCAAAGCACTTGCCTAACAGACGTGAGGTCCTGGGTTCAATTTCCTGCAGCTGCAGCACAGAAAATTTTAAAATAAAGCCCTCTGGGTGATGGTGGCAATGACTTAGTACTTTTTTTTTTTTTTTTTTTTTTGGTAAAAAAGTTCAGGCTGGCTTTGAACCCAAACTGGCCTCAATCTCCTGCCTCAGCCTCCCAAGTGGTGGGAGGACAGGCATATGCCACCATACCTAGCAACTCTTAGTACCTGGCTCGCCCTGGAACCTGTCCCTATTTGTCCTACCCATTACCGCACTCTTGAGCTGCCACACTGGAATGCCCCAGGACATAACAGCAGCAGTCCTGCCAAGGACTTCCTGTGTGCCATCCCAGCACCCACACAAACACAAAACCACATGGGACAACTCCTTGGTGTCCCTTGTGCACAGCATAAAATTGAATGAATAAACAAACTGCCATAAGGCTGCAGGCGAACACACCCGGGTTATCCCTTCTGACCCGAGGCGGCTAACTGGTAAGAAAGGAAATGCAAGCTGAAAGCAAGGACATTTCAACAAAAAGAAAGCACACTGTATGCCTCCTGCCTTAAATTTGAAACCTCTCAGGAGAAGACAAGATATCCCCCATGCGAACACAGCCTGCTACAGACAGTGGAACGTCAGACACCCAATTCATAGTCACACAGGACTAGATCATAACAGTGACCTTGGGAAATAACGGCGGACAACATTTGTCAGCTGATCTGGAAGATTCCACACAGAGAACACGGCCAGCTTTTGTGTGGCTCCAGGTACAGAACATGTGGGGTGGACGCAGGATTAAAGTGTTTGGATAGCAGCCCTCTTTGCCCACAGGACTTGGAATCCCCCTTCCCTTCTTTTTTTGTTATGCTGGGAATTGAACCCAGGGACACTACCACTAAACTACACCCCCAGAGCTTTTTATTTTTTATTTTGGGATATGGGTCTTACTAGATCACTAAACTGTTCAAGGATATTCAAATTCTTAATCCTTCTGCCTCTGCCTCCCAGAATGCCAGGAATATATAGGTGTCCATCACCATGCTAGATTCCAGCAGAATTCCTCTGTTTGTTTTGAGACAATCTCTGATGTTAATTCATAGTTTTTGTTTTGTTTTGTTTTGGTACCAAGGATCAAACTCATGACCTAGTGCTTGCTAGGCGGGCACTTATACTGCTAAACTAAATCCCCAAACTTAAGAGATTTTTTTTTTTTAATTGGTACCGGGGATTGAACTCACGACCCTGCAATGAGCTAAATCTCCAGCCCCTCTGATGTGATGATTCAAATTGGCCTTGAGCTCACAGCAACTGTTCTGCCTCAGCCTCCAGAGTGCTCGGATTCCAAGGCCACAAGGCCCAGCAGATTTTTCTAAGCAAGGAATTTAACTGCATTTCCTAACATTCAACATCCCCTGGAGGTCTGGCCTCTGGGTAATTATGCTCCCTGCAGGCTCCACTCACTTGGGTTACCCAGCCAACATGCCTAAGGCCTGTTGGGTCCTGAGTCCCTGAGGGAGGTGAACAGCAAGACAAAGTCCCTGGACAGATATGGGCCAGAGGTATGGGGCTCTGACAACGGAACACAGAAGCGCAGGAGACAGCAAGCAGCTGCTTGCAAAAATCCAGGGCCATTTCTCACGTGGAAAAAACATCTGAGTGGGGATCATAAAGGCAGTGTCAGTTTACCAGAGTGACCACAATGCAGGGCACTGTGGGTACTCGCTGCTCACTCACTTTGTACCCAGCTTAATGCTGGGGTGAGGGGCACTAGGGACTTCAGGGACACCTGACTTGGCTCTCAGGCCTCAAGTACCCCACTTAATGTTATTTCATTTTTATGACAATCTAAAAACCAGTGGATGACAAGAGTTTAAGTTTTGTCCCCTAGGGGACATCTGATAATGCACTGAGGCATTTCTGGTTGTCACATCTTTTGGGATATGGTACTGACAACCAGAGGACAGAAGCAGGAGAGCTTGGTGGCACATGTCCATAATCCAGGCTACTCTAGGAGACTGTGGCAGGAGAATTACAAGTATGAGAACAATTCTAGCAACTAAGCAAGACCTTGTCTCATAATGAAAAAAATAAAAAATAAAAAAGGCTAGGAATGTAGGAATGTGGCTCCGTGGTACAGTGCTAAGCTCGATCCCCAGTATGGCAAAAAAGGAAAGAAAAAAAAGTCTTAGAAGGGCTGGGAATGTAGCTCAGAAGTGAAGCACTCATTTAGCATGTGAGGGGCCCTGCTCAGTTCCCAGCACCACAGCACAACACACTCACACACTGCAGCAAGCTGGCCTGGTGGACCTGGGACCAGCCTGGGCAACACAGCAAGACCCCGTTCCAATCACCTTGAAACACCCAGACAGGGAGCAGAAAAAGGAAACTGGGTGTCAGTTCTTCCATCACGGCTCTGCACCCACCTTAAACACAGCAGGCACTCAGCACCGCACCTGCACGCAGGCCACACGTGCAAAGGTCCAGACAGCCACTGAGCGCTCTGCTTTTCAACAAACCCTGCCTGCAGATGGAGCCTGGGCACCGCCGCCTCTCATGAGTCACCCCACAGCACTGAGAGCCACACATTTGCAAACCACGAAACTGAGGCATAAAACTGTACCTCCAGGGGCATTTCCCATGTGCCAGGCACAGCCTGAAATACAGTCCTCAGGTCACTTCACTGTGGAAACATCCCACAAACTGGGGGCCGCCTGCCCCACAATAGTCCCCCAACAATTCCACCTCCTGGTTGCCACAGAGGGTACAGCCCCTCCTACCCAGAACAGACAACTCCTATACCAAACAGCAGGCAGCAGAAGTGAAGGCCAGTGACTGCCAACTCGACTGCACCAGTGAGCCCACAGCGTCCGCATCAGCTCAGTCACTCAGGAAAGCCAATGAGCAACTTCAGCCTCCAGTCTTCAGGCAGAGGAGCAGAAATTCCTCCAACCTGGCCTCACCTGGCCCTGCCGTGCCCAATCCTTGTAGCTTGCAGGTGTATGGGAGATCCTGAATTGAACCATGTAGCTTCACCACTCCTCAATTCATTAACTTGGGGTAACCAGCAATGAAGCAAGGGATAACTAATCTTACACTACCAACACAGTTGGGTGTGGGTGCACCCCCCGGCCTTCATTCCAACACTCAGGAGGCTGAGGCAGAAATCACCATGAGTCCAAGGTCAGCCCTGGCTACATAGGAGACCCCGACTCAAACATCAAAACCCAAACTAAAGGAAAATACTACCAAAAGCCCCAATTCAGGATGAAATGCTTGTGTGCCAGGGACTCCTAGGTCTGGAAGCTCAAGTGGCGAATAGTTTGATCTGAACCTAGGATGCCTCGATGTGAGACAAGGCCACAGGATAGGAGAGAACGGAGGAAATTTGCATATGGAACACAAGGCAACAGTTGGAGCTCACAGCAAGTCACCCCAACAGCAGTCTTCCTACCACAAGTGCATGGCAACACTGCTGAGCACGCATGGAACCCCCACAAGCGACTTGGGGACAAAACTGCAACCACCCTCCCGGCCCCTTTCAGCCACCCAATGTGAGGAAACAGCTCCCATAGCTCCAGCCCCAGCCGCCACTCTCACTATACCCCCTCCCAGCCCCCCAACCTGCCGAAGTAAGGAGAAAAGCTCACTTAATGCTATCCAGCCAGGTGACAAACTCATAGGCGCTGCTGGTGGGCGCGTGACACTGCACGTAGGACTCCGGGGCGCAGTCCACGGTGTTGAAGACCACCAGGCTGTACTGGGTACCCCCGTACTAGGTGAGAAAGGCACAGGCAGTGTTAATTAGTGACGCGAACTTTCTCGACTAGGAAAGAAGTTGGAGCACCCAGTTTCCTGTAAGCTAAGCAGCAGAAACTCCTCCCAGCTTCTTCCACCCAGCCAGGGTCCTGGGTCCTCTGAGCTCGGGGTCACGACCCCTTCTTCTCCCCAATCCGGAGATTCCGGATCCATCTCCCCACTCCTATCCAGGGGTCCCGACCCCCCCCCCCCCCGCGCTCTGAGCCGGGGATCCCGGCCCTGCCTCCCCTCTCTGGCCAGCAGTCCCGGCCCCGCCTTCTCGGCCTCGGGCTCGCAGACTCACGTCTCCTCCGAAGTCCGTTTCCGCAGGAGGACCGCCATTGAAATACCTGCGAGGACCGAAGTGGACAGCGGGGTCACACACAGGCTGTGCAGAACTAAACTCGGAGAGGGCGCCCCGCGGGACTGTACTCACTCAATAGCCGGGAGCAGATAGTGCTTGCGCAGCCCCTCGAAGTAGGGGCCCAGATTGGCTGTGCCCTCGATTACAAACACAACATCAGCCACCAGGCCCCCGGCCCGGGCCGGACCCTCAGACCCGGGAACCATTCCGGGAGCGGGAGCAGGAGCGGCCACCGCCGCCACAGCGCCCAGGGAACGAGCGGAAGTGCGCCGTGGGGCGTGCGTGCGTACGCGGGCCGGATGTCTGCAGGGCGCCGCGGACGCGCGTGCCGCCATGTTTGTGCGGGGCGCTAGGCGCGGGTTTGTGTTTTCATTCCTTTTCCCGTCCGAAGCGTGAGTAGTCACGCGAGGCATAGTGATCCCCTTCGAAAATCTCTTGGGAAATACTGAGTTATTGTAAAAACTGTCTAGAACAAAATAAATAGAAGGAAATGCATTCGGCCGCCATCATTGAGCGGGGCGCCTAGTTGGACTCGGACGGCGGGGGGTGGGGCGGGGAGAGTCGTGGTTGCTAGGCAACAAGTACGCCGCACTTGTTTTCCAGCAGAGAGATTAAATCGCCAGTTCTTTTCTTGCCTGAGCGCGAGACTGGGGCAGGGACGTGTGCAGGAGCCAATCGCGTCCTCCGAAACGAGGTTACTACGCAACACTGTGATCAATTTGGAAGCGTGCGGCTGTTTTCTCTCCTGAGAAACCTGAACTCCAACCTAAGTGGAGGCTGCCAGGCAACACCTGATGGCTGTTTTAATGTTATAAATGAAATCTCAAAACTACCGGAAGAGGAGATAAATACATCGTCCAATTCTGAAAAGCCAATAGTGATCAGCTACCACAAAGCCACAAAACATAAAAACAAAAAAACCACATCAGTTTGCCAGTCAAAGACCACATAAACTAAGTTTAAAAATCTACAGTAGCCACACGTGGTAGCGCACGCCTGTAATTCCAGCGCTGGGGAAGCTCGGCAGGAGGATGAGCCAAGGCCACGTAGTGAATTCAATTTTAGTATGTGTGCTGCCTGCCGAAGCGAGCACTCGTAGTGAATTCAAACCAGGCTGAATTACAGATCGAGGTCCTGTTGCAGAAAAAAAAAAAAATGTAGCTCAGTGGTAGAATGCTTACCAAGTTCCTGTATAAATGTATAAATTCCCGAGTCCGTCTGATTCCCCAGCCTTGCTAAAAATAATGAAAAGTGTTATGAATTTTCACAATGCAAAAGAATAAGTGAGATGATGGACAAACGAATTATGCTGACCTGGTCAACACACACTGTATACCTTTTACTTCATCATTATGTACCAATATATGTGTCAATTAAATATTTTAAATACTTTAAACTTTCTAAATGCTCAACATTTGAAAATTGATCATTTTCACCAGTTAACAAGTAGTAGTGGAAAGCCCAGTGAGCTTGGTGCAGTGATGCACAGTTGTAATTCCAGATACTCTAGAGGCTGAGGCAAAAGGATCACAAGTCCAAAAACAATCTGGACAAATTATCAAGACCCATTTCAAAATAAAAATGGCTGAGTGTAGCTCAGTGGTAGTGCAATCCGGGGTTCAACCCCGGAGAAGAGGAGAAAAACAAGACAGAGAAACTGCTCAACTGGCGTAGAGTGTGTTGTTATGTCCACGTCCACTGAGTAATGCTCTGACCTGCTTATTTCACCCAAACTTACCCCAAGGGCAATAGTTTTTTTTAGTTTTCCATCTGAGGATTGAATCCAGTCTGGCACCTAGGAGGAAAGAGCTGTACCAATTGGCTACATCCTCACCCTTTTTTAAAAAAATAAGATGTTTTGTTTGGGTTGTTTGTTTTGTTTTGTTCTGAGACAGGATCTTACTATTCAGTTCAGCCTGGACTTGAACTCATTGTACAGCCCAAGTTGGCCTCAAATTTGTGGTGATTCTCCTGCCTCAGACTCCTAAAAGCTAAGGTTACAGGCATGTGCCACCACATCTGGGAACATTGACTTCTTAGCAGCAAAATGGAAACTAGGAGATGGTAGAATAACTTTGTGCAGTTCTTTGAGAAAAATTAACTATCAGGGCCGGGGATTTAGTTCAATGGTACAGTGCCTGCCTGGCAAGCATGTGGTCGTGAATTCAATCCCTGGTACCAGAAAAATCAACTATTGTCCAAAAGTTGTTCAGTAATGAGTGAGACAAACTCACTTTAGACAATATAAATGTTAGAATTAAACTCCAAAAGACATATTTAGGACAAAGAAAAATTTTAAATTCTGTTTCAAGAAGGAAGAAGGATGATTTATCAGAGGGAAAAAAAGATGGCAAAATGAATTATAGACATAGGTATAATTATAAACATTGCCTGCATAAAATAATAATAGTATTCAAACTGGTTGGAGTAGCCCAGTCCTCAAAAAATAATAAATTAAAAAAGTATTGTTGCTGGGCTTGGTGGTGCACACCTGTAATCCCAGCACTCCGGGAGGATGAGGCAGGAGATTCAGGAATTCAGAACCTTTTCTGTTGGGGAGCTGTTGAGTTAGTGAAGGAACCAAGAGCATGGAGCGCCTCAAGGGAACAGGTGTTCCAGCCTCAAGAATAGGGGGTGTGAGAGTTGAGGTAGTGAGGTTTCCACTTCTAAATGTATGTAGCACTGGGGTGGTTGAACAGTTTCTTTCCATCCAGAGAGAGAGCTCCACCTGATGTTAGCTTTCTATGTATTGTCTTTTATCTTTATCTCTGTATCCTCTTGCTGACCTTCCCCCCACTCCCTGGGAACTTTCAAAGCTGGGCAGGACATGGCATTTCACCTGACAAAGTTAGTGACTTAGCAAGACCCTGTCTCCAAATAAAGAACAAAAGTGGCTGGGGACGTAACTCAGTGTAAAGACCCTGAATTCAATCTCTAGTTAAAAAATAAAAAAAATATATATGAAAGAAGGCAGAAACAGATCCAAATTTATGAGTGAGTAAAATTTCAGGATCTAAACTGAGTGTGGTGGTGCATAGCTGTAATTCCAGCACTAAAGGAGGCTGAAGCAGGAGGATCACAGGGAGTTTGAGGCCAATTTGTGTTACATAGTGAGTATGAGGCCAGTTTTGGACTACAAAGTGAGGCTAGTCTGAGCTACGTAACAAGACCCTGTCTCAAAAAACAAACCCAATTACATTTTAAGAAAAAAACCTCATTACATGAAGGAATTTCTTAAAAAAAAAAAACAAAAGGAAAAACTAGGTAAAAAAAATTCTTAGGTATATGAGGAAAAATGTATATATTACTTTAAAAATTATTCTTTGTATTTTTTTTTCCTCTAGAAGTGTATTGGGGAGCTGGACATGGTGGCTCATGACTGTAATCCTAGCACTCGGGAGGCTGAGGCAGGAGGATTGTTGCAAGTTCAAAACCAGCCTGAAGTACAAAGTGAGCCCAAGGCCAGCCTGAACTTGAGACCCTATCTCAAAAAACCACAGGAAAAAAATGTGGTGTAATTTAATATGCAGAGTAAACATCTGTTTTTTCTTATAAGCCATTAGTGATCAAATCAAGAAGAAAAACAAAACATTTTAAAATAAACAAATGTTTTTCCCAAGGAGTAGTGATGCATGCCTGTAATTTAAGCTACTAGAGACCGAGGCAGGAAGATCAAAAGTTCCATGCCAGCCTGTGCGATTTAGCAAAAAGAACTTGTTTTAAAACAAAAGTTTAAAAAGACTGATGTAGCTTAGTGTTCCCTGGGTTCAATTCCAAGAACCATAAGCAAGGGGGGGGGGTAGATACAAGGCTTTTTGTTTTTAAAATTGTTATTTAAATTTTGTAGATATGCTTGCGTAAATGAGAGCAACTGTTCTCACACACAAAAAGAAACTAGCTATTCAGTTGCTAACTCAAAGATTTACAGTATCACTTTATACACAAGAAAGAGCCTAGCATGTCAGTACAGGACTATTTTTTTTGTCCTTAAATGTTTCTGAGACAAGTTACTGCTATGTAGTTCAGGCTGGCCTTGAGCTCACTTTGTAACCCAGACTGGTATCTAACTCACAAGGAACCTCCTGCCTTAGCCTCCAGAGTACTGGGATTATAGGTGTGTGTGCCACCATGCCAGGCAGAACTGCTCAATTTGTTACAACCATAAAACTGATTACAAAGAAATATAAAATAGTGACATAGACTAACATTTTTTGATTAGAAAAAGAAACAAACGTTAGTACAAATGTAGTCTTCATTTTAGGGAGTTTGGAAGATATTTTCACATTTTACTGTATATGGTAAAATATCGGATATGAAGTCATAACAGATAATTTGATGATGCTGTAAAATAAAGGATTTTTTCTTCTAACGAAAACAACTATTTTATTTGGTGGTTACTAGGCAACGCTCACGGGAACAAACCACTCTAAAAGGGAGAGGAGAGGTGGTAATGCTCGAATTTGAACGTGTGACTTTTTTTTTTTTTTTTTTTTTTTGAGACAAGGTCTAGCTATGTAGCCCAGGCTGGCTTCGAACTCATGTCTATCCTGCCTCAACCTGAGACTGCTGGGATTACAGGAGTGCGTCACCAGGCCCAGTTCGTGTAGCCATTTTTGAGCAGGGCACAACCGCTTAGATTTTTTTTCAGAATGGAATTGCACGGTGGTTGCTAGGTAATGCCTTATACTGTCGTCATCTTTGAATGGGGCACCTGTTTACTAGTATAAAACGGAAATCCACGCGAAATGCGGTTGCTAGGCAATGACCTAGTACCATCGCCATCTTTGATCGGGGCACAGTTTTTCCATCTAGAACGTAAATTATTATATCCTACGTGATGGTTTCTAGACAATGCCTTGAGACTCTCACTGTCCTCAAGCTAGCCTTCATTTTCCTCGTTAAATAAGTGGAGTTAAACCACGTCAGAGAGAAACTATAAAGTTTAGCATGAACGATTACCCGCCATCTTTGTTAGGGGCACGGTGACTTCCGAATGGAGCGGAAGTGAACCTAACAGGGTTTTAGGATCTGTTTTGAGTTGGTAGAAGGAGGCGGGAATTTAGTCCCTTTTCAATTAGCGGCTCTGGAAGGCGCGCCGACTTATTGCGATGCTATTGCCAGCCAGATCCAAGCCCGGCACTGATAGTACCTAAGGGAGACTCCGCGAGTTGTCCGAATGGGAGAGCATGGGACAGGGGGCACCGTGCATCTGCTGTGCCTCGCAACCTCCAGCGGGGTCCCCCTGTTCTGCAGGAGCAGCCGAGGCGGTGTCCTAACCCGTCAACAGGTGGGGCTTAGACGCCTAGATCCAAATGGAAGGGGGCTAGGGCACTTGCACTCCAGGTCTGTAAGGGAGTAGGGGCAGAGAGGTTTCTGTTTTGACTTTAGAGATCCACGGGCCGCATACCTAGCTGTGACCGCAAGTTCTTTGCAGGGAGCTGCAAGGGAGGATGTGTAGTGGGGTTGGGAGCTCTGACACTTAGATCTCAAGGGGAGGTCATGGGGTTCCCCTGTCTATTGCTCCCAACTCTTCTCCAGCTCCCGTTCTCTGTCATCGGCTCCCTCAATGGAGTCCACATGTTCGGCCAGAATCTAGAGGTGCAACTGAGCTCTGCAAGGACGGAGGACACCACCGTGGTGTGGAAAAGCTTCCATGACAGGTCCCTGGGGGGGGGAGCTTGGAGCAGGGACAGAGCCTGGGTGATAACCCCTGTTGAAGATGACCTGGAGGCCTTCCAGCTAGCTGTTGGTTTGCCTGTGGGATCTCTGATAAGACATTGACCCTACTGACCCCTAATTTCCTCTGTAGTAGAGGCAGGCTGGGCTGGGAAGAGATACATTTTAGATTCTGGGGTCAAAGGGCAGATTCGGCTTTACCCACGGCCTCATTTCCCATGCCAGTACTCATTCTACCTTTTCGCCTTCTGTCTCCACAGTGTCACCCTCATCGTTCTGTCATCAGAGGAGGGCACCTCGGAGCTGAGGCTGGAGCGACTGCTCCAGATGGTATTTGGGGCCATGGTGAGACCCTGCAGCACTCTTTTCTAGCAAACCCAGAGATCTGAGCTCTCATCCATCTCCTCCCTCAGCACTCAGGAATCCTGATCTTAAATCAACGTGCCCCTCCTCCTTGAGACCCAGTGTAGGTTCCATCCTCTGCTCTGTTAGACCCACTCGTGAGAGGCCCTTACTCTCCTATGTGGTTCCTCTAGGTTCTTCTTGTAGGACTTGAAGAACTGACAAATATCCGCAATGTGGAGAGACTGAAGAAGGAGCTGAAGGTGAGGCTGCAGGACATTGGATGGGAAATTGGGATACCCAGGCACTGCCATTCAGGCACTGCAGTTCCCAGGATCTTCAGGAAAAGCGTAATCTCATAATTTCCTAGGGTAACCTGCTTGCCTGACCCTGGAGGGCCAGCACTGCCATTTCTCTCTGAGGAAGGCAGTAGCTGTGGGACCCTTCTGGGTCCTAGGCTTCTCCTCTTTCCCTCTGCCAGGCCAGTTATTGCCTTATCGACAGCTTCCTGGGGGACCCAGCGCTCATTGGGGACCTGACCCAGTGTGTGGACTGTGTGATTCCTCCAGAAGGGTCACTCCTGCAGGTACAGGCAAGTCTGTACCCTTGACTCTGGCTCAGTCCTCATCCTTTTCCCCCTAGACCACTGTTCCAACATCCTGTCCTCTTGGTATCCAATCTGGCCTCTGCTTAGCCCTACGAGAACTCTCCTCCAAGCTAGGCCTCCCACCCTTCCCGCTCAATCTTGTGGCTTTCACCTCCCTCAGATCATGCCTCCAGCCCCCCAATCCTCCAGCCCCATTTTCAGGGCCTGTGGAATCTGGTACTCGCCAAGCTGTTGCTAAATCTACTACCTATCCTCCTGCCTCATGGGCCTCACAAAGCCCAAGTGTTTTCCAGCTTCCCAGCCTTAGAGCACACTTCTCCTTCACCTGGTGACTCCCCACCATCTCCCTCACCCTCAGCATTGCTTTTGTCCATGCACCTGGCTTGGGCATCTCTGCCCACCAGGGACTTGACCTGTGAGCTGCCTACATGGCACAGCGCCCTTCCAATAAGCCCCAGCTGCCACCATTACTGTTACTATCTTCAGTATGTGCCTGTCAGGCTGGTGGTTTTTTTGTTTTGTTTTTTTTGGTCTTTTTCGTTTTTATTGGTACCAGGGATCAAACTCACGACTGCCTGCTTGCAAGGCAGGTGCTTATGCCGCTGAGCTAAATCCCCAGCCCCCAGGCTGGTGGTTTAATGACTATGTGACAGTGAAGCAACTCAGGCTGAGAGAGTGTAACACATAAGCCTGGCCACTCAGTAACCTCCGGACTCTCCCTCGTCTCCTTCCCCTGCTCACCCACCTGGGAGTCTCTGCCACCTTGTTCTTGTCTTCTAACACCCTCCCTCTCCCATTCGCTTGCCTTCCCAGGAAGCCCTGTCTGGGTTCTCTGAGGCCACGGGAACAGCCTTCGCCAGTTTAGTAGTGTCTGGCAGAGTGGTGGCAGCGACCGAGGGCTGGTGGCGGCTGGGGATGCCCGAGGCCGTGCTGCTCCCGTGGCTGGTGGGGTCTCTGCCACAACAGGCAGCTCGAGACTACCCGGTGTACCTACCACATGGGAGCCCCACGGTGAGTGGGTGGGGCCGGCGGGGCAGGAACATGGCCAGTGGAGGCCTGGGTCCAGGTCCAGTCTCTAGTCTTAAAGGGAAGGGGCTGAGCCACGATGAGCCCCACCCAGTGTCCTGCTTTAGGTTCCCCACAGGCTCCTGACTCTGACGCTCCTGCCGGGCCTGGAACTGTGTCTGCTGTGCGGGCCGCGTCCGCCCCTCAGCCAGCTAGATCCACAGGTGAACAGAGTCCTCTCACTTCCCTCCAGATAACACCTCCAGTTGCGCGATCCTGTCACCAACTAGGCTGGCTAGCAGGGTTTTTCCGCAAGCCCCGCCCCTTGGAGTGCGCTCCAATCACCTTCACGCCAGCTCACCTACTTTCCCTGTACACGATTCTGTCATACGGTTTCTTCCCCTGGGCCCCGCCCCTTTCACTTGTCCCTGCTCTCCCATTGGTGTCCCACTGGCCCGGCCTCTCAATGACCGCTCCTTATTGGCCCCCACAGTTTCTGGAACGTTGGTGGCAGCCGCTGCTGGACCCGCTGAGGGCCTGCCTGACGCTGGGACCTCGAGCGCTGCCGGACGGCTTCCCCCTGCACGCGGACATCCTCGGGTAGGGCTCGAGCGAGGAGTGGGTCGGCAGTCCTTACGCCTCTTTCCGGTCCCTGACACACTGTGCTCCACAGGCTGTTGCTTCTGAACCTGGAACTGAAACGCTGCCTTTTCACCGTGCATCCCTTGGGGAACAAAGGTGATGGAGGCCAGGGGTGAGCTGGGAGGACTGTGGGAGAGGAGCCGCCCTCAACTCCGTCTTCTCCCCTATAGAGCCTTCCCCGGAACAGCGCCGGCGCCTCCTCCGCAACTTTTACACCCTAGTTACCACCATGCACTTTCCACCAGGTCAGTAGCAGGCAGGCACGGTGCCCCACTCAAACAGCGACACTGGTGTTCCAGTTTGCACAAGGTGGAAGCAAGAGGTGGGGTTGCTGGCAGGAGGTGGGTTACTGGCAGGAGAGGCTGGTAAAGCTGGGAGCACAGAGCACTGTCACAAGCAGGGAAGCAGAGGAGGACCTGGCCAGCTCTGGAACCTCCTATGTAACCCTAACAGTTACAGTGTACACCAAGGCCTCTTCTCTTGCCTGGGTTTTTATACATAAGAGTTCACTTGTCGTCCTGCTTAGGATTCTTCACACTGTCACACCCACACACTATAGCAGGAGTCTCAGGCTCAGCTAATGAAGGGAAGAGCCAGGATTCAGACCCTGGCAGCTGGGCATCCAGTCCATACTCTAGGAAGCACAGCCTTGCCTTGCCTGGGGGTGTGGGGTGCAGAATCTAAGCTCCAGGTGAGGAAGGAAGGATTGTGTAACCCACAAGGCCCCAAAGGACAGGACCAGAAAGACCCAACAAACACTGTACACTGGTGTGAGCCACATGGCTCCTGGGCTATGCAGACCCTGTGTCAGCCAGGTGGGGATGGGGGAGTTGGGGTGGATTCTCAGTAGTCTCTCTGGCTCCTACAGCATAGCCTGGTGACTTGCACATGGTGTCACCTGCATGTTGCAATATGGGTTGTTCAGAGGGTGGCCCAGGATATACATAGGCTTCCCAGGAAAGTGAGAACCATGCTGCATGGGGAAGGTGAAAGTCCAAGGGCCCCGAAGCCTTCACTGAGACCTCATGATTGAGAATTTAGGAGGCCCAGGACGGTGTGGCTTCCAAGGTTTAGCGTCCTACCTGTCATACTCAGTCCTTTTTGCCCTCTCCCCAGAGCCAGGGCCGCCAGACAAGGAGGATGCGGGCCACAGGACCCAGCTACCAAGAGCTTGCTACCTTGTGTTGGGCCCAGGCATGGGGTGGCAAGTAGTGGCCCTGCAGCTGGGGCCTCGCCAGTTGCTGCTGCTGCTGTCTTCTCAGAGCCCCACCCATGGGCTGAGAGCCCTGGCCACCCACACTCTGCATGCCCTCACCCCGTTCCTGTGACTAGCAGGGAAGCCAGCAGCAGACCCGGACACAGGGCTATTAGCGTCTCTCTGTTTATTCACTCACAATAATACACAGCCCCTAGGCGGGGAGGGGGCAGGAGGGGCTACAATGGGGTGGGGGGAAGGGAGGAGGCACTCACTTCCCTGGCCCCTCTCCCCTCTGTGCTTGGGGGTGACAGGGAGGAAGGGGGCTCCCCTTTACCCCCAGAATGTAAACAGCAGCAGATGAACAAAAATAAAAATACAAAAGGCTGGAGGAAGGTCCCAGGCATCCCCCACCCCTGTGTCTTCCTTGTCACCAGTGGCGGTCCCCCTCACTGCCCGATCCACCAAAGCTGCCTCAGTCCTAGAAGCTGCCTGGTGCCAGCCATGTCTCCAGGACAGGGTCCAGGGCTCAGAACTGCTGGGCCAGCAGCTCACACAGGTGACGGGAGACGGGCTCCTTGCTGGTGCGCAGGGTCAGCCGGTACATCTGTGAGGGGGTGGGCAGCACTCGGGACAGGGCAGCCACAGGAGGGGGAGGGTCCCCAGTTGGGTTCAGGGAAAGGAAGCCGACAGAGCAGAAGGGTGATGTACAATTGACAAAGTAAAGAATAAAAGACACAAGAGGCCAAGACAGGCAGGAAGGACACAGACAGGGAAGAGAGGGACAGAGGGAAGAAGAATGCACCAAGACAGAGGACAGGCAAGTCCACGGTCCCTCTCTCAGCACCTCTGCAGCAGCACTTACCTGTGCCTGGGCATTGGGCTCCAGCCGGAGTAGACAGCCCACTTGCAGAGCTTTTGTCTGAATGATTCCAGCCCCCACAAAGTTCTCAGGGTTGGGGTCCACATTGTCCAGAAGGGCAGAGCCAAAACCCAGGAGCTGGAAAAAGGGCAGGAGGAAAAAAAAAAGGGCACGAGTTCCCACAGTGCTTGAGTTCTATCACCTCTGGGTGGCACCCCAGTGCCCCAAACCCTTGTGCCACTTTGAAGATGGGGAAGCAGGGACTCCGAGAAGTTAGGTGGCCACTGCCTCATGAGTACACCTTGCCCCTCACCTTGGCCTTGGTGACTTCTGCATCCATCGGGTGGTTGGCTTTAAAGATTTTTTGTGCTTCCTGCAGAGGGCTGGGGGCAGAAAGGTGAGTCAGGGAAGTTCCCAGAAGCCCCCTGAAGTCGCCATCCCAGCTCTCCCAAGCACAGTGGTGGCCATGGTCACCCTTCCCCGATCCTCACAGGCTCAGCTGCTTCCAGCGCTGGAAAAAGTCCTGGGCCGCCATCTCCGTGGGTTGGAAGAACTTGTTGATGGTCACTGGGAGCTTCAGGGTGAGGGACTGGGGAGCACCACCGTACCTGGCAGGGAGGAGTAAGTTGAGGCACTGCCCTCACCCTAGAAGCCCCGCCCAACTGCATTGCCCCGCCCACTCACCGGAAGCGCACCAACAGCAGAGGTGGTGTCAGGAAGTCCCTCAGACACTCGATATTGAGCACCTGCTGCACCTGCGCCCCGCCATCCACCTGCGTGGCCACACGCTTCGTCTGCACAGCCAGCTGTGCCAGCTGTGGTCAAGGAAGCCAGGGACTGGCCGGACACCCAAGGAGTGAGTCTTGGCTGTGGTCCTAGCACTAATCCTACAGAGTCCCTGCTATGAAAACCTCGGGCCCACTTCTGCACCTGCTGTGGCTGGCCAATGGGATCTCAGCCTCGGCTCCCAGGTCTTACAGCCTCGGTGACTGAGCAGGCTATCCAGCCTCTCTTAAACCCTCACCTGCAGAATTGCACGTGCAGTGTCTTCAGGAGTCAATGAGGTCATCAGGTGGGTGGCAAGTACCGCAAACAGATGGTAGCAGCGGGTGTGCCCACCTGCATCCATGGCTGCCTTTATGTCAGCAACCCATCAGCAGGGGCTGGGTCTCACCTGCCACCCACCTGTGCCCCATGTTCGGCACACAGCTACCTACTAGGACCTCTGGAAATGATGTATGGATGAATGAAACTGAAAAGATCCTCAGAGTTCTGGGGCCAGGCCCTCTCATAGCACAGGTGTGGAAACAGAAGGTGGAGAAGCACTGACACTGGCAGTGACCGTCCCAGGCTTTTTAACTGCTCTGATTTTCACAACAGCCCTAGGAGGAGAACTGGAGAGAAGATTTAACCACCCGGGTCCCACAGAACATTTTGGGTCAGCTTTTAAACCCAGTTATGGCTCCTGCATGTGGAAGGTTCTAGAATCTTGGGTGTGGAGCCCAGCACAGGACCAGGTCAGGGTATGGGAGGTGCTGCCTGATGGACGAACTGAAGCCCAAGGCAGCAGGGTTCAAGTAATGTCTCTTCTGTCACTTCATTATAACCACCTGGCCTAGAGGACCACATGCCCACAGAGCCAGAGCAGGGGTCTGGACCTGGTGTCTTGGCCTCCCAGTGATCAGCAGGACCAACTGGATGGAGCAGGGCCAGACCCAAGAGGATATGAGTCTGGAGGTCTCCCGGGTGGACCACAGTGGGCGCGAAGTTCTGGAACTGCATGGAGGTCTTGTTCCCATAGAAGAGATACATGCGGCCTGTAGAGGGTGGGGAGGCAGGGTTCCATCCCAGTTCCTCTGTCCCTAGCCACTTGCCAAGCCAAGGGCGCCCACTACCAACCCTGTCCCCACAAGGCACCCAGCCACACCCAGGTTCTGCCGGAACTCCGATTTGACGCCGATCTGCAGCAGCTGATTCTCAAACAGGACCCCGTTGTTCTTGCACACGAACCTGATTGGGGTTGGTGAGTCAGGCACCTGAGCCCTGGCCCGGCTTTCCCTCCTGTCCCGTTCCCCTCCCGGGACTCACTTATTCAGCAGTTCGTCTGCTTCTGGGATGGGAGGGCCGATGTCCTCAGGACCTGGGCTAGGGGTGAGGAAAGGAGTAAGATGGGAAGGAGGGGGGATGTGCCGGAGGCAACAGGTATGGGACAAGCCCTAGGACAGAACCTCTGAATCCACATACCCAAACTCCTCAAAAAGACCCAGGGGTCCCTTGAATCACACTGGTGATTGTCATTCTTTTAAATGGGACCCTGCCTGGTGCCACCTTCCCTATCAGAAAACCCCAAGTTCCACTTCCCTCTAACTGCCATGGTTGGTTAAGCATCTGGAGCCCCTGGCTACCAGTTCTGAGTCCCCTGATCCTCCCTAGGGACACTGGAGTCTGTTCCCCGCCCCCATGCCACCCCTTACTCAGCAACTGGTGCTGGGTCAGCCAGCAAACCCATGGGGCTCTCAGGAGCAGGTGGCTCCAGTTCGCTGAACCATCCAATCCCAGAGGAGACAAGGAAGACAGGCGTAGTAGGCAACCAATCCCAGAGCAGACAGAGAAGACAGGCGTGGCAGGCAGCCAATCCCAGAGAGGCAGCGAGAGAAGGGGAGGATGAAGGAGAAAAGGAAGAGCAGGCTGAGAAACAGTAAAGGAGAGGCGACCAAGGGTGGTCAGGGGCGGCACGCGGTCCAGAATGGCCACGGGGTGTGGGGGCAGCCGGGCTGGCAAGGAGGCATCAGGAACGGGAAGAGGAGCTAGTTGGGCAGGGGCCCGGCTGAAGCGCAGTACCTAAGGAAGGCTTCCTCCGGGGTGGGCCCCAAGCTGGGCTGTGCAGCCGGGCTGTCCGAGAAGACATCCACCAGGAGGTTGCCTGCGCTGGCGGGAGCTGGGGCCGTCGCTGGGGGAGGGGCTGCCCGCAGCCCCAGGAGGTCGGCAGAGGGCGAGGGGGTAGACTGCAGGAGATGGGGCCCGGATGAGACCTGAGGCAGCTATAGGACCTCATCCGGCCCAGGTGCAGCGCCCCAGGGCTCACCAAGGTGCTGGCGGTGGGCTCCACACCCCCATTGATGTCATTGCTGCTAGCGTCCCTCCGGCCGTCATCCAGGCCGCTGGCGGCTCCCGGGCCCTTCTTGCGTTTCAGCTTGGCCAGGATGGATGACTCGCGCTCAGGGAAGGGCGGCATCTCCTCCAGCACTGTGGCCTGCAGGCAGGATGGGCTGGTCAGGGGAGGGGCATTTCTGCTCTAGGGAAAAGAAGGGGCCCCTCAGGCGGCAGGCTCGGGGCTCTGACCAGGACGTCGGTGCTGGCCACGGAACTGAGGGTGAGGTACTCCACGGCGCGCTGCTGCAGCTCCACGTCAGCGTTGCGCAGCTGGGAGCCGGCCCGCAGCACCCCCTGGATGGTAGCCTTGGTCTCGGGGAAGAGGTTGATGAACTTGATGTAGGTGGAAAGCAGCAGGGCCCGGGTCGCCACGCTGCACAGGTGGAACTTGGAATGCAGCAAGGAGAACTGCACTGGGGGGCTGCGGGGGCGGGCAAGGGGTGCAGTCAGCAGGACCAGGCTGCCCCTGGGGAAACCCTCCAAGAAAGGCGCCCCACCACCAGACCCTTCTCCGACCATATACTGCCCAAGGGGCTGACCCTCCCTGAGACCCAGGGCTGTGGCTGCTGCATGGCACAGGGAGGTGGCTGGAGTGTCAACCCAGGAGATTCCTAGGACCCCCATCATTACTAGCCCTGGAATCCTCAGAATTCCTTCAGAAACTTCCCTTAGAAGCTCAGGTGTTCATCTTCAAGCCTGATACTCTCACCTAGAGCGGGGATCCCCAGCAATCAGGTTCCCAAACTCCCCAAGGATGTAGCCACCGACTTTCACCATGTTCTCATGACAGGCTGGGGCCTGGAGGGCCTGGGGTGGCGACAAGAGGGAAAGAGTCACTGAGCCTGCCCCTGGGGGTTACTATGTGCCCAAACTCCTGGGGGGACTACAGATGGGAAGACTGAGGCACAGAGTAAGTGATTGGCTCTAGCTCTTACAGGAAGTCAAGTAGGGCAGCACTGGGCCCCCATTCTTGGGAGGCCAAGACTCAGGGAGGAAGCCCTACACACCAGGCACCCATGCCCACGCTCTGTGGACTCCACACATCAGTCCCCCCACGTCCCCCCTGAAAGGAACTGAGGCCACACTGGTAGAGGAGAGAAAGCAGAATGGTGGCCTGGGCTGGTGGGCCCCACAGCCAGCTGTCCTTGCCTGGTGCCTGTCCCCCCAGAGAGCTCAGGGTGAAGGATGTTGACCTCAAAAACTGTCTTGGCGGCGTAGCCCTGGACGTCATCCCGGTTCGTGACGATCTGCAGCACGCGGTACCACACCTCCTCACTCACATAGTCGCCCGCGATGCGGATGAGGTTGAGGATGGTGTCCACGTACCAGCTGTAGTCCACAGCATACTTCTCTGCCAGGATGGCCACTTTCAGTACCTGTGGCGGGAGCATGGGGGCC